CGAAACAAGATTAAAATGGAGAAAGAGAAATGAAAAGTACAAGAAATATTATAAAGGTAACGTACACAGAGTCAGTGTTATTACCGTGACCCTAGAATTTTCAATGAAGAGTATAAATGTCAGAGAAATTGCATCCATAATCCGATGATGTATAAAACTCATGAATCCAACAATGACCATTACTCTCAATGCTTTTGCTGTACATCGTGTGGCACAACACACGCAGGAAGGACATCTTAATCATGATCATAGCCATTCCTTCTGGAATGTACACGTCAACACCATGATGTCGTCGTAATGAATCCATTAGGGCAGAGCAACAACAAAAATGTGAACATTACAATTTCTGGATGGGCAGCAGGAAACTCCATGAGCTGGTAATCATAACCAATCTTCATGGCTACAGATATTGACCCACCCTCTATTGCCCATGAGAAAAGGTATTAACGAAAATGTTAGAGACCACAGCAGTCCCCAGTAGAGCTCTGATATTCGAGTCTGGTTGCTTTTGAAGTTATTTGGTTGTGAACTGCTGGGAAGAACTTTCTATCACCAGTGCTAGGGACGAGATGAAATCATGTATTTCCAACACCCAGCCATTGCAAACTAGGCTTTCAGTCACTTTTAGGGTCATAAATGTCAAACCCTTGTTCATAGAGGCTGGTACAAAGTTTCATCGTCAAAATCAAATAATAGTAGTCATAATAACCATTCGTGATGGTTTACGTTTCGCTTTTGATCGGTCCCATGTCTGTGGTTTGCCCGTCCGAGTCAGGAAAATGAGTAGACTTGATCTGTGCACGAAGGAATTAAGACTATGGTTACTATCTCCATGAAAGGAGTTAGGCACTATAGCTATGTCTACTAAGCTACGCAAGTTCGCTACTAGCGATGTGTGTGTTACGAGAGACAACCGTTATGGAGAACTGTCATCCACATTACGTTGCATGACATATACCCCAGTCAATAGCTACGGACACTGACACATTTGGTATACAGACAAGATGGGTTGCAATTAAGTCCATTAGCTGCTTCCAACCTCAGAGTAAATATTCATTGTGACTTTCGAAGGGGCTATAAAACTGGAAGATAGCAGTAAGGCACATATATGAGAGCAGACTCCCAGTATAGAGAAAGAACCGCAATTGACGAGTGATTGTTTGCGTTGAGGCTGTCGCCGTCTTCAACTTAGCGTGATGGGTGGAGAGATCGAAATGGAAAAAAGTGTCGTCCCCTGGGCAAACAATCTTCACAGAGAACCCACACCTGCGTCTGCTCGACAAAAAAGCAGGGTAGCCATCATAAACGCACAACCTGCGGTGCTGAGCAAGGTTTTAACTGCTATGTTCAAGGCGTAAAACACCGAGCTAATATACTGGGGCTTATGAACGACGCCCAGGCAACATTCCAATCCAGCACATCCTATGGTTATGAGAGCCACGCACTCCTACAACTCAAACTTCAATAGACGCTGGAATATCCAGTGTGGAATCTGGGCGGCTACGGTAAGGTATTCTGACGGGTGGCGCAGGCAGTTGTCGAGCTTCGTAACGGCTGGGAGACAGAAGAGTACCAGCCGCAATACCAGCTGGAGGCCATATCACTAGAGCCATCTTTGCTCAAGGACCACTTCCGCCGGCCCCCAAGCGGATGTGTCACGTGATCGTGCGTACTAGCTACTAGAGAGAGCGCGCGCGACTTGCCACGCACCCGCGTTTGTGCAGAGGCTATGAGTATTCTCGTGGTACAACACCCAGACACACTTGGGCGTATAAACATCGAAAGATAGATGGTCTGGGTCCTCCTGAGTACCAGCCAGAGGCTTCCTTTCGCAGCTACAATACTTGATTTCAGCATGCGCGAACTGCAAGTTGGGAATACCAGATTATTGTCCGTTTATTTCCGTATTCTCCCCGCGTCCCCGACCCCCCAAGCGTACTCCAAGCGCGAAGCGTCAAACTCCAAGCGCCAAACGTTAAAAATCTATAATTCCCTTTTGTCGGCTTCCTATCCAACGCGCATGATCGATCCGACCCGCCCAATTTTTTATGGCCCGCACTGGGCTTCCGCTTCCGGTGTGCGCGCAGGGCCGGTGTGTATACGGACGGGTCACGACGAGATTTGCTCACCTCTGCTGCGCGAATACGATTGAAGAATGCTCAACAGATTAGTGAAGAAAGTGTCATTGCTGTTGGTTCTGAGTCTCCTCTATTCTCTGGTGGAGGTTCACTCTCAGACCTTTCCTTATGTCTCCTTCATGGGTCAGACTCTGGCCAACCATTCCTATGTGGACCTCAGTCTAGTGGGGACCAGCGATAGTCTTCAATGTATCACTAACCTGATGACATGTTGCAGTAGTTCTCAGGGTGTTCATCGTGGAGACTGGTATTTCCCAAATGGATCTATACTGCAATTTTCCGGAGATATTTTTGAATCACGCGAACCTCAGAGAGTTAGCCTTCGCCGTGAAAGAAATCCTGCAATAGTTGGTGTGTATCGCTGTGATGTTTCAACAATTAGCGTCCATGATAACATCGACACTTCGGTCAGAGATGTTGTGTATGTGGGTCTGTACACCCCTGATCAAGGTAAACTTATTCTCCTTAATTACTTGTTATAATTTTACCAATTTCATTGCTTTAGGAACAATTTCACTGTTGGGAGGTATGACACTTGATCTTGGCCTACTAACGCTCGCCTGTATCTCCACTGGTGGACCTGCTACAACTGTTACCTGGACCAGAGACTCTGCCTTGCTCACAGAAGGAACTGAGACTGTGTTGAATGACCCAGTGACTGCACAATACACCCACACTCTGACTGTGACTATAGCAGGAGTGTACACATGTACTGTGGCTAACGAAAAGCCATCTAGTGCTTCAGCCAGCATCACCCTTGAAGGTTTGTAGCTAGAGATTTGACAAACAGCTGCTTTTCTTAGCCCTAACCCTACTGACACTCTGTGTTCACTATCATACGCTAACCACATATTCTACGCCAGCCCAAACTGCAGTAACTTATAAAATCCGTTTATGGTCAGTTCTTCATGTAAGACGAAGTTTTGAGTCACGAAATCTGCTGGTCAGCATTTTCATTGCTCTTAGCTCGTAACCCATGTTCATAACCTTTTTTCTTATGGCATACTATGCATTGGGTAACCAACAACAAATTTCGTGACTCAAAACTTAGTCTTGTTTTTGTACGCTTGGGTATGTTATTGTCTGTGTTTTGTGTGCTTGGGTGGGGGAGGTTCTTTCTTTTCCTCTGAGCTAGTATGCTATAAACATGTTTTTTCATGGGTTCCCTGACTTGTATGTAATACTAGTGGATAACACAGGAAACCACTTGGTAAACTCATGCAGTGGCCTCAGCTCCAACTGATGTCAGAGCAGTCCAAGATGGTCCCTCCAGTATCAGTGTCACCTGGACCCCTCCAATTCCGTTGGGAATTACGACTGGCTACAAGATCTCCTACACTGGAACCAGCAGTAGTAGCAGTGAAAATGTCAATGGCAGCAGCATGTCCAGTCACACACTCACTGGTCTTAACAGTGGGGACACCTACACTGTATCCATTTTAGGCACTGCAACAGGTGTTGGTTTACCTAGCCCTACTATTGCTCAGGTTGAGCCTGTTGGTTTAGGTGAGTCAGGAACAATACTCTCCATAGGTTATATATATATAGCCACGCTTAGCTGGCTAGCTGCATTATACAAGGGTGGGAAATGTTGGCCTGACATTACTCTAAAGGAATCGCTGTGTGTGTATATATCAACTTGCACTGTTTATGGAAGTCGGGACGATCAAAAACTGTTGGTTTTTGTTCAATTACAGTTCCCTACCCAGCTGCTATTCTTAATACCACAACAGCAGCCACTACTACTACTATCACAATCACCATTACCGGCAGCACTCCCATTGGCTCAATAGTGACTGGGTTTGTAGTCCACTGGAAGAGAAATGCTTCTACCAGTTGCTCTGATAGTGATGAGGGAACTATCAGTGTGGCAGCTGGTAGTTTCACTAACTATGTTGTAACTGGACTCGAGGAAGGGAGTTGGTACACAGTTACTGTGAGAACGTCTAACACGGCTGGTAATAGTGCGCCTAGCAATACCCTCACAGCTATGACATTGGAGACTGGTGAGGCAGATTACGACTTTTGCATCTCATGACTATTTAATATCTTGATACTTTTTATAGCACCATCCGGACCTCCGACCTACCTGGCTAGTGGTACTAGCACGCATGATAGCATATCAGTGAGCTGGGGTGAAGTGACTTGTGTCGACCGAAATGGAGATGTAACAGGGTACAAACTCCGCATTACAAGGACTGGGCAAGATGAGAGGATTGTTGACGTTAATGGTGACCAAAGGGAGGCAACTTTATCTGGCGTGGCACCGTCTTCTAACTATTCAGTACGAGTGGCAGCGGTGAACGGTGCTGGTACTGGACCATATGGTGATGAAATCACAGTTCAAACTGAGCAATGTCAGTCAGTGATTATGCCATCATTTAAAACACATTCCTTTTATAAGTGATTCTCTTTTCTCACTTTTTAGTCAAAGCTCCACCCCCCAATGATGTGGAAGCAGTCCAGAATGGTCCCACTAGTGTCCTAGTGTCTTGGAGTTCATCCAGTGGTGCCACTGGCTACATGATCCACTATGACAGTAGTGGAGGTCACAATGGTAGCATCAGTCTTAATTCCTCAACTGACAACTTCGAATTGACTGGTCTTATGGAAGAAAACACATACACAATATCTATCTTTGCCAGCTCAGTAGACCTACCTAGCACAACCATAGAGCTTCAAGTCAGATTAAGTAAGTCCTTAGTAATTCATGTGTACCTTTCTCTACTTTGGTTCTAAATAATGTCCAGTCCCAGCTCCAGGACTGGTGTCGGTGTCAGTTAGCTCCATAGCAGCCACCTCCATCTCCCTCTCCTGGAGTGTGTCCAGTGGGATGGTGGCCAGTTGGGAGGTGGTCTGGAGACCCACTGACAGAGGCACTGAGAGCACCAGTGGTCTTCTGTCTGATACTACCTACACCATCCTCCAGTTGGACCCCTCCACTATTTACACACTCACCATCACAGCTACCAATGTAGCTGGAACGAATACTAGTCTTCCCATCATCGTTTCTACTGGTAGGCCTCTGTATACATTATTATGTAGTCCGGGAAACATTTTCTCTAACTCTGATTGCAGTTCCAACAGTGGAAGAGATCCTCAAGAGAGAGAATATTGATGCCACATGTTCCGAGACTCACAAATACTTGGTCATAACTGGTGGACTAGCAGGAGGAGTGCTGTTTATTGTCACTACTGCTAGTATCATTGCTGTAGTGTTTGTGTTGAAGTGCTGCAGAGCAAGGTCTTTGGCTCCCAAAACCAGGCATGTTAAATACAGTGTGCAGACTCATCTAGCTATCATGGATCAACATTTCTCGCATGTAGTAACACAGGCTTCCCAGATTCTACTGATGTTATTTTGGAAAGATGAAACCTATGAGTAAGCTATTTAATGTGATAATGGAGGCTTGATATAATTATACCCATTCAAATTTTCTCAGAGAACCTAAGTTCGAAACTACCACAAATCAGGCCTACAATGTTGTCAAAGAGAATGAAGGAGGGACAGAAGACGTTGGTTACACGACACCCGACACCAATTATATGAATACTGTGTCTTTATCCAAGTCTGCTGAATGTATTCCCAGCGTTGAAGACTCCATTTATGAGAACTGAACGAGAACTGATTTTTCATTGCTATTACTGTGTGTATACTCAGCTGGAGTTGTTTTTGTAACAAACATTTTAGTTGTCATGGAAACACTCATGTGTGCCACATGTGTAGGAAGTTTGAGATGTTAACCAAAGATGGTTGTGAGATAGTAAAGCACTGATTGGTATACAATACGAGCAGCTGCATTCTTAAAAGGTGGAGAGAGGGGGAGGATATTGATGCAAGTATATAGGAGGGATGGCTCCAAGCTAAGAAAAAGGAAGTAAGAAGCCTGATTGTAAAGACACAACAATCCTGCCAGTTTGATAATAGCACAGCACGACATGCAGCACGCACATTACTGGGATGTCCCATACATTTTGAACCCCTACCAGCTGAGTTGCCTTGGAAATGCAGTATGTAGAGCACTCGCCTAGACCACAGAGTGTCAGGGGTTAGAATCCTACCCATGGCAGCTCTTTCTTTTTCCTTGGGTTGTCTGGGGTGAAGTTGACTTGTTTACTTTGTTCTTGTTGTTGACACCTGCCTAGCTAGCTATCACCATAGCCTCCTGCCCATGTAATATATGCATGCTTTGTGACCATGCACACCTCCGTTCCAAAGGCATGACCCGTAGAGGGATAGCAAATACCCGAAGTAGGCGTGGCATAACTATGGTAACGGATTGCGTCATCATTTTCGGACCATATTTGGGCACGGCTGTGGACCCGCCGCCATTTTTAGCTGCTATGCCGGACGCTCGTTCTCTTTGACGATTGCACCATTGCAGCGTCCTTAGCAAAAAGTATGCAGATGAGATGGTTATGAACCGCCTAAAAACTAACGTGGTCAGTCGTCCTTCTCTGACGATTCAAGCAGTGGTAAAGGCACTGAAAGAATGCTAATTCGGGACAGTTTGTGCCTCCTTTAGCTAGCGCTCCAGAAAGATTGTAGGCAGAAGCCTGGTTTAACCATGTTATCTACCCGCAGATGCTTCGTGCATGCTAAATTCGCCACTTCTTGTTAGAAAGAACAGCTAACCTTCCTGTACTCCGAGCAGCTCATCACAAGGCCGTTTTCAAGGAGAAAAGTCGTAGAGGAGTTCTAGGACAGTACTCAACGTGCTTTGGATATCAATTCCTGTATATTTTACAGGTCATCCTTGTTGTTTCACAGGATATCATGTATATTCACTGGTAGATATGCTATCAGTTGGTGGTTATACTGAATAAACTGTGGGCGGCGCCTTTGAAAATACGCACTACAGTGGTATAAAAGTTAATACATTGGCACGTGATTCATGGTAACAGCAAAAAATATCAATCTTGAAAATAAATTTGGGGTTACAGAGAAAATACGCCAGTTGTGTAACTATAAATGTTGGCCGATGTCAACTTAGCATGAGTGTCATTTGTGCACGTATAATTATTATTATAGTATTGAAGAATTGGAGATCAGTTTTCAAACGCACCACTCGAAGGTGCTGCAAGGCAAGTCACCCCAGCCCTGACGTCTTTCTTACACTCACTATCCTCGTCATGAACTGTAGGTGAGTACAGGCAAACAGATTCTCTTCGTCTCCATCACAGTTAACATGATCCATCCAGTACTTGGCACCATTCTCAGCTTTAACCTCAATAGTTGTGGCACCTGTGCAATGAAAAGCACTGAAGTGCAAACCCTCGGCGCACTGTGACGCGCACGCGTAAATAAACGCATGCGCCGTACCACTAATTGATGGACTGGGTTTAGTTTTAGCTGTTACTCGTGGTCTCTTGCCAGCTCGCGCAGAGTCTGACACGGGCTAACTACACTACTAGATAACATGCGAGAGGCGATACACGCCCTGCGTTGCATCTTCTGGTGCCTCCGAGGTACGCAGAGCACGCGGATCGATCAGACCGTGGTAAGCCATCCCGCCCGTTGTGTATTTGCATATTGGCTTTTTCGCGCTGTAGCTCTGCAACGGAGCATTTTCAGAGAAAAGCCCACATATCTTCTGACCTTCATTGCCCGTTAAGTAGATCGTATCCTTTGTGAGATGAACAAACACCCGAGAAGTGAGATGTTGAGTAACACACAGACAGACAGACCCAACTACCGTAACCCTCGCTGCGCATGCGCGCCGAGGGTTAACAAAGATGATCATGATGACCTTCCAGTAAGTTAGTTTAAACAAGTCAGTGGAGGATCTAGAACTCCAGAAAGGGTGGTTCCATGCACCCAAAAAATCATTAGCGGCGACACCGACTTTTGGACACCTTGCGTGCTCGTTGTGTGAATAGCGCATTATGAGACCTTCCATGAGCTATTCTTCTGCCAGACTGTTGGGTTCTCAGTATTATAAATCATCCTACGCAATATGCAGGTACCGAAATTGCATCACTAGTTTTGTAACACTTGGACTGAAAGGGGAGTTCCATGGCACCCCATGAATCACCCCTAGATCCACCACTGCCAGTGCCATAATTTACATATTTACATGTTCTACTTGTACTGACACATTTCAGACCATACCATCAGCGGAGTGGCCAAGTTCCCTGCAAGCTACTCTGGCATCCTCGCTAGTCCAGTGGTTACAACACAGTGACCTCCACTCATTACCCATCCTCAGTTCAACAGCACCAGATAGATCAAAAATGTCACCACCATGTGCTATACGTATGCCAATGTCACTCTCATCTGAAAGTAGACGCAGTAGAAAGATAGTATAACAACAGGTGATGATTCTAGAGTAAGGCGTTCACGTACTGAGGCACTTTACTCCAGCTCTCTCTTTTCGACCACAGTTGTGGACCCCCAAACCTCTGTGTGGACAATCAAAAAGAGAAGATTCATATCCTTTGCACATAACATTATCCAGCCAGTATCGTCTGGGCTCATTCGCATTGAAGAAGCCCATGAGAATTGGTGTAGCACCTGCCGGAGAAAAATATGTTTTACACATTCAAATAGTAGCTGGTAAAGCAGGGAATGTAATAATAATGCAGTGTGCAATAATTAGAGAGTCGAAAATACTCACCAAATCCAAAGAAACCAAGTTGTCGGCAAACTACATTGGCATCGTCATATGTCCAGTAATCATCACACACTGACCTCCACTCTGAGCCCCACAACACCTCTACCAGACCTGATTTTACTGTCTCTAGGCCACTCTCCTGATCCACCAGACGGATTCTGGCTTCTGTATAGGTAATTACACCACTGATCAACACATAGCTAAGTGCATTTTTTCCAGTTTTGTCTACTTTAGAATGCCCCATGCAGTGCACTGCCTGCGTGTGACTCATGTCACTCATTAAAAATACCCTGCATTCATTTCAGTAATAAAACAACTAGGGATTATCAACACATTCATTCGGGTATTTGCCATTACCTAAAAGTTAATACGCAAAACTTATTTGGCTAGGCAAAGAAAGAGGCATAGTAATCTTGTCATGTGTGCCTTGCCAACCTTTGAGCCATTCCTTCTTGTGACAATATTGTGTGCTCTCTACACTGTCGAACAATATTAAGGCTTAAGCAAATGAACTGCAGCTAGTTCTCAGATACGTAGCTCTCCTTAATTGGTTCACATACGTTCGTTGTCTAGAATGGTGAGTGTGAATGTAGCAGATTTGACACCAGGCTCCACATGAGGCTCCACCCCCATCCATGTGATGGTGAATTCCTCTGTACCCTCAACTTCATCGTCATCAATCACTGTGTACTGTGAATCAGATGCAGTGGTCATTGTAGAGAGGCAGAGTGTCAAAACGATTACACCTGTATCACTAGGCCTTCCTGCTTATACAACACCTTAAGGTTACTATTAATTGCGGCTACTAATTTTAGTTACTTTAACGAGAAACATCAAAATCACAAAATTATGTGCACGTCAATATTTGTATTGCGCACACGGGCGCATACCGCATAAATTGCAATTTTTCCACGTGGATAGTTGCTCGCGCTATGTTTCACGTGTTTATACTCTACTGGAGCTTTAGTCTGGAGTCTGTAAACAAAAACAGAGCTTTGTGGTTCTACTTTGGGTCAGCTGGAGCACAAGATGAACTAGGATACACGCACAAACTTTGACTGGTTGTCATCATCATACATTCATAAATTATTGTACACAATGACAAGCATTCCTAAAATTAGTACACGCCAAAATGATCTGTGCAAAAACGCTAAAATTAGTAGCCACCCGACATGGGGATCTGCTTAATTAACGAGAAATTGATGTATAGTGTATTAGGACCTAGTATTATAACCCCCATATATATTATTATGGACTTATGGAGGCTCTGGACACATTTATGTGTCCATGGCTGGTTAAGTGTTAAAGTACACATAATAATACAGACTGAATAGTTGTACGTGGCAATCTCCAGAGATTGCCACGTTACATATACTCCTGTCTGCACACACACACACACGTACAGTAGAGTAGTAAGTTATGTATGATAATGCATAATGTAAGACACAGGTGTGTTTTAAATGGATTGTATGCATGTATGTTTACTCTGCATATATAATTAGAGGTGTTCATTGCGCAATAATAATAGGTAGCTATGATTTTTTACCGGTATGCAATTTGATGAGCCATTTGCCGATAGTAGCAAAACATCATTCTCTAGTTCAATATCTGCAAATGTAAACACCCTACGTAATAGCTGTAGCTACCACAGAAATTAATGCATGCTGTGCATGGTACGTATGAGGGGTGTGGTCCAGCTAGTGATCAATCCAGACCACGCCCTTCAATTCCATTTCAGCATGTGCTTGTTTACTATAATTTGAGTTGTTGCTACTATATAGAAGTGAAACAGACTGACAGATACACATGTGCAGTGCAACAACTATAATAACCATCACTGTGCATGCATGCCGAGGGCTACAAAAACCTCCTTATACTGTATTTCCTCTTTTGTTTACAACCCCTACGTAGCTATGTATGTACCTGCTGAGAGAGCATCAGGCACGCCAACACCAACATCAATGGCAGAGTTTTTGAGGCTGAAGCACAGTTCCTGGACCTCATTATCTCCCTCCATCACTGTCACCTTCTCCGAATCCAACACTATTTCTGCCACTATAATGATTATTAGCTTGGTTATCACAGGTTAAAAACTGCACAAGGGAACAAAATTTGCTTTTAGGAGTGATTGTTGCAGTGATAAAACTGCTTGTGAATATGTTCGTATTTTTAGCATGTTATGTTAGTATTTTTATTTTTTGCAAATTTTGCTAAACTGCTTCCATCAAGTTATGTAGCATGCAATTGGTTACTTTTCTAATTCTGCCCGTTTTGTGCAATGATTTGCTCGGATATGCTGCTGCACAACCTCTACAGGATTACACAAAGATGATAAGACACCATTCGAAATTTCGCTTCATTAACCCTTAACCTCTTTATGACATGCATTGTCAAACATAAATTCTGCTTAGAACCCTTTTGAACTGTCATGTGGGATGGAGTGCAAGTTCCATGGTTGACAAAGATGCTGTTCTGTGCCTGCACATTATCTGATGCTGGTAGCTAGGTTGTATGCTCTTGTGTAAGCATGGGTGGGCATAGTATCAGAGTATTCATAAACCAAAGTTCTTACTTAATTTCTTCTCCACTGAGCATTGTCTGCAGTGGATACTGGTTTTGATAGGTGAGGTATGCTAACATAACGGTGGACCTTTATCACTGGGATAGTGGAACCATTGTGTGCCACTGTAATCCTCCAGGGGGAGAGATAAGGTACAGTCTGATCACACCATAGCATAGAACCACTTCTGTCTAAGAGCAGCTGGTAATCTATCCCAGCTATAATAGCAGCCTGTAAAGGGTCCTACAAGAATTTCTTGTTTGAGAATAAGGCTGAATGCTCCAAGCTTTGGCAGACCACCTGGCTAGCAGAAAGAATTGTGCGCACTATCAGAGGTGGCTTCTGTGACACGTGAGGCTGCATGCTCCAGCCTTTGACTAGAGCTATTTGAGACCACAGGGGTCTAAAGGACAAAGCTGACAATGGGCAATCCTTGTACGCACATAGCTAGAGAAGCAGCGATAATTATACAAAAAAATAGACTGTAGGTGTTGTCTATTGCATGCATGAGAATTGTGTACACAACAGACCCTTTACTGAAATATTCATATACTAATCTTTAGTCAGGTGTCTGATGAGTCAATAGCATGTTTTAATAAACTTTCCAAATAGTGACAAAAGCCATTTTTATGAATTCTGCATTCCTCCACGTGACTTATTTTGTACTGCATTACTTATGGCTGTTGCTAAGAAAATGTACTACACAAACAGGTGATAAGATGGGATTGGGAACTGGCTAGGAATGCAGTCGCTGTAGTATATACAAGCGCACAAGTGCTGGCACGGATAGCTTTTCAGTTACTCGGCACTTTAGTTTGAGTCCTGACAAAACCTGGCTATATCCACTTTCTTCATGGTCCGGTGCAGCTATACAATTAGTAACAACTGCATCAGTCTAAGAATTTCATTATTGGGTTTAGAACTCACCATCTGAATTCAGTATGGTAATCTCTGTCATGTTCTGGACTATAGTAACACTGTCATTCATCGTAGTCACTAGCAGAGAGATTGTCTCGGGATTCTCGTATCCATCGCCCGTTATGAGAGATACTTCTATACAAGGTTGTGGCGTGGAGTTGATAGAGAGGTAGACAGTGGTGGGAATATGCTGGAAGTCCATTCCCTCTGTGGATAGAAGATGTATAGTCGCATAATAAAATGGAGGGGAATATTTGGGCCTGGCTAGTTGCTAAACACACTACATAACTCAAATCACAGACGGGGAAGAAAGTATAAGGGAGAGGTGAAATTGAATAAGAATCTAGTGAGCAGAGCCTCATTTACAACTTCCCATTCCACGCCACCACTGACTGTTTACAAAGACCACCGCAACAAATAATTACTGGACTTCCATGTATGTAGCTTAGAGTAGTCACTTATGATGTGGTATATTCTCACTTATACAACAATACCTGTGGCAGTTCCAGTTGTGGTAGTAACCACCATGACAGTGACTCCAATAGGGTTTTCAGACCTGGCAAACAGACACACACTGGCTGTTCCACTGCTCTCCATTGCAGTAATGGCGGTTTCATTGAACCCTACTTCCACTAAGTAGGGAGGGAGGGAGGGCAAATGTCAAGATTGGGAGGGAGCTAAAGATAATGGCAGAATTGAAATGGAGCAAGGAGATAATGCATTTTTGGAGAGTAAACAAACACATGTGAAACACATGTGATGTTTTCTTTTGTCTATTACTACATAACATTGTTAAGTGTGCCCATGCACTCATTGGATACATGAAAACCACACATTCAGCTGATGAAGGCTGGCTTCGCTTTCCCACCTTGTATTCTAAGCAATCGTACTCTCACCTTTAGCAGCACGGATAATGAGAGTTGCTTCACTGAGAATGATGTCATTTGTTGAACCCCCTGCTATTTTTGTTAAAGTGATTGTTATGGTTTGTCCACCAGGAGAGGCATGTCATCATCCAACACCCTCACATTCAGCAGAAAATCTTCCACACCCAGAAAGAAGCTGGTGTTGCTCACTTCTACCTCTGTATGGTCGAGATAGCTTTATGAAAATTTTGGTTTTTCAGTACAGAAAGAGCTGGTGTGATTGACATAAGTGGTAAAGATGGAAAAAAATGATTTGTCCCGAAGGTCTGCAGCAAGCAGCCTCAACAGAAACTAGAGATTGCTACAATAAACGAATAAATTGGGTTTTTATTGGGAAGCTTGGAACAGTTGAGGTCTATTTAAGGAGGTAGCTACTCCAACTGCTACTTAGTAAAAAGAATATGCTGTGGGTGTAGTGGAAATTCTTAGCCCTGGCTCTCCTGTCACTGGTTATTTTTGCAGGGTTCTTATGTAGCTATTATAGCTGTGTACACTGCATAGTCAACCGGGTGAGGTCAATAATCAGTCTTAACACTTCACTAGTAATGCACTTAGAAGTACAATAGTTGCAAGGCACAAAAATGAGTCAAGGGAGGTCTACATAGTTATCTAGTATTGTTTGTTAGATCATAGATCATGCTCTATATAATTATTCCTATTGAGGCACTGGAACATATTAGCTATACTTCTTACCACTGGCATTAAAATCCACCCTAAATGCAATTCGAGTAGGAGATGATCCCTTTATGTAGCCAATAGTCAGAGGCAGTTCGTCACCTTTTCTCACCTCCATTGGAAACATGTCTGTCCACCCATATTCTACAGGCAAGGATCAGATGCATCTTATTAGATTGACATTCCAAAGCTATCTGGCATTGTGATGCATAGAAACGCTGCACACATCATTAATTTTTTCTGGCTTTTTAAAAGGGAACTAAGCTATAACTATTCCTTGCAGAAAATTGGCAGGTATTCATTGATGCACTATTAACTAATTTTCTGTCGCTACAGATTGGTATGAAGTTTCATGACACACCTATACAAGCTACACAGGTTTCTGCTCCACTGTCAAAGGACAGCGCCTCATCAATAATGCAGCACTCCAGGGGAGTGGCGTTTTCGCCAATAGAGTCCTCGCACCTCGTCGTTCTGTAGCACCGGACCTGAGCGGCACCTTTGAACAAATAACGGACCATAAAGTAAAAACACTTTCACATTTCGGTTTGCAGCATCTCTTTGGTTTTGTACTAGCTAGCCCGACAATGGCGCCAAATTTACGTTGCTCACCTTTCCACGTGCAAAACACGAGCAACAGCAGTGGAACTACAAACTGCGCCGCCATACCTAACCTGACAGTGTAGAGACAAGAGGGTGGTGGCCACTGTTATGAACAACCTCGCCGCAACACGAGGTCGGCGCCAGCGCCGCCGTGTCATACAGATCGCGCATGCGCATGCTGAGAGGCAGAATTTTCTGTTGGCGTATATACGGTCCTTCTAATCATATGGTTTATGACAGAGGTTCACTCCCAGACCTTTCCTTATGTCTCCTTCATGGGCCAGACTCTGGCCAACCAGTGTATCACTAACCTCCACACATGTTGCCGTAGTTCTCAGGGAGCTCATCGTGGAGACTGGTATTTCCCTAATGGATCTATGCTACGATTTTCTGGAGATGTTTTTGATGTTTGTAGAGCTCAGAGAGTTGATCTAAGTGGTGTTTCACCAAGTCATGGTTATATATATACTTCTGTGCTATATATATCAACTAATGTGGTCCATGATGATTACGATATCTCTGTGAGAGACTCTTTCTGCCACATTAGTTGATATATATAGCACAGACTAACCTTTTTTGTGAAATCAATACATAAAGTTCTTCACATAATGCACAGGTGTTGCTCTCTCTGACAGCTACTCTGTTTTTGGCTTTCACTGCATTTTGTGCAGTCTAAGACTTCCATTTCCAATCAACTAACGATGAGTTTTACAATGCTTGTGGGCTTCCTGATAATCCTTTTACCATTGTCCTCACACTAAACAAATTCATGTTGTGAGAAACGTGGTGACAATATAGGGCTTGTGAGGAGGAAAATGTCCTTTTTATGGCATGCACATGTATTGGGGCATAATGCCCATATATAAAGTAACATGTATTTATTACCTCAGACTCTTTGTCGTCGTCTACATGTTTATTTCACCACCGAAGTACATAACTGTACAACGTTTCATTGTTAGAGGACCCATAAAAAGCAAGTTTTAGGAAAAACAGAACTTAATTGCCTGAGGCTGTTTGTTGTTGTTTACAAACTTGTAATTTATGTTTCGGTGAACTCTTATCAGGGTAAATCAGTGTACCAAGTTTGATTGCTAGAGGACCCACAATAAGCAAGTTAGAGGCACAAACACAGTTTACTATTTTTTATTGTCTGAGGCTGTTTGTTTTTGTTTACAAACTTGTATTAATGATGGGTTGCACCTGTGTGCAAAGTTGTATCACTCTAGGTATTTGCAGCACACTATCATTTGTCTTATCATAATGTATGGCCTGGGGCTATTTTTGTTGTTTTTTGCTGTTTACATGTAAACAACATTGTTTACAAACAAATTTAAAATGCTCTTGCACGACTGTCGATTCGAATCTCTGTGCAAAGTTTCATTGCAGTGTATCACCTGGTTTTTGAGATACGCTTATTGAAACTGAACGACAACAACGACAAGAAGATTTCTTTGCCTCTCATAAAATAAACCTATACAGAAATCAATTATTAACTATAATTATACCTCCGCTTGGGTCTGTTATGTTTTCCTGGTCAATTCGAAATGCATAAATTCCAGGTACACCAATGTTGCTATTACCAGCAATAGTCGACAATCGAAAATGTTTTTCAACACAACCTGAGTAACAGGATAAAAATATAAAAGATCTGTTTTTGAAATAGGCTGTGGTAAACCTGCACTGAATCCAATTTGCATTCTCTGCTCCTCAGTCACATTCCAATCGTTGTATATTAATAAGGCGTACGTATCTTGCTTCCCATCCTCAGTTGCTATGACAATCTGGATCTGTACCAGTGATTACAAAGACCTATATATAACACAATGTTCTTGAACTGTATTGAAGAGAATGGGGCAGTTTAGAGGCTAAAAAACGGAAATAGCATTCTTGCAGTGAGTACTGTTGTGTAGTCCCAAATTTAGCCTTCACATAATAATTATACTGCCACATTCCCTTTACATAACTTACAGTGCCAGTGGTGTTCTCAATACCATGCCAGGTTGAAATAAACATGTGTGTTGGATCAAAATCTGACAGTCTTTCTCTAAATCCATGTTGAAGATGTTCCTCAACTTTTTCTTTGCTTTCCGTAAAGCATTCTGAATTGTCAGTATTATTCATTCTTTCGTTGTAATAAGCATAAGGGACTTTAAAATTGCCTTCACTGGAATTAAAATCAAAAAGAATTATATCTTGCCAGATTCCAACAATCACAGGAACTGAAGACGTTTTTAAATCTTTTTGGTTATTACAAAACTCTTCGCAATCTTCAAAACATATCAGTCCGTTCTCACAGATCTGAGTTGTGTTGAATGATGATAATATTTAAATACAATAACAATCTGCAAGACTTACAAACACATTGGAGTAATTTTTACCGTAGAAAGTGTAATTTACACCCAACGGCAGCATATTGGTTACATTGACCTCCATTTGTGTCTCATTACATTCCCTTCTGGTACTATTATTATCAAGGCATGTATCTCCAATGTCATCTCCGTAAGGAATAAGTCCTGTGTAACGAAAGTAGTTAATTATATTTGGGTTGTGCTAGCGCTGGTATCATTTTTGCAGAGCAGGATGCAGTTCAGTTAACAAACATACTATAGAACATCTCGGCTTTTGTGGTGGTCAATTTCTCTATCCAGGAAGTTTCTGCCATCATGACAATGAATTTTTAGCCATAGAGTGTTTAGCGTTATTGTAACGTGTTTTGACGACCCACGGACTAGTTCATAGTAGCTACTGTTTATGCCGATTTTATAGTGCGTGAGAAGGGTTACCAGCTGGTACAATGCTGTGTACTTAGCGTGAACGTCATGCATCACGTAGATGTCACCGTCAATCCCGCATTCAGGTATAATATAATAAACCAAAAGTCTTCCCTTCTGGTGTGCCATTGTGAAACGCACCACACTTGCTACATAGCTGTCCCGCCGACAGGTTATTATGTGTTTGGCTAGATAACGTATATCCTGTGCATGTGAGGCACCTAGACGATGTATAATTATAGCAAAGTCATTTTCTGAAAATAGTGCAACATTAATAATCACTTTTTCTTTATCTGCCGCAAGATTCATGCAAGTATTTGTATGAATATTTGCATACGCGATGCCACTACAGTAGAACAAACCTTTCGCATAATATTGAATTCTCGGTACTTCACCAATCTATTGTTTTTTGAAATGACTTTGAAAAGATTGAAATAGGGCAGGGGAATATTGCACTTTAGAAATATTGATGTCGTACAGCTAATGTTTGCTCTAGCTAAGGATCTAGCGCAGCTTGCATGTTTTAGTTAAGCCCTCTTGTATTTAGCACTTACATACTGATATACCTACCTCCTGTGAAAGTTTCATTGCAATCACAGCAACAGAGAGGAATCAGGAGGCTAAAGATCACGAAGAACTGCAGCATTTCTTTCCTTACTAATGGCTTTCTTTGCACACACACCATAACAAACTTCCACATTTGCACAAATGGAATTGAGCATACAGACCTATTGGCTACTGCATGAACTCTCGGTCACTCCAGGGGAATATCTTAGTCCACCAGGCTTGTCTCATATTTATGCTGACCAGGATGCTATCCTACAAATGCCTTTGTGTACTGTTACATTCCCTCTAACAATAGATGCCAGACTGTAACATCTAAGTCAATGTTAATTATACACTCAACAAAATCTATGTTTTGTCATAAGATATTTACACCAATGGTATAGAATCTAATTAAATTCTCACACCTGTGCTTCATGAGAAGTGCCCTCCAGGGACTTCTATACTTCATGCATTTGAAGTTCCATGTGTAAACTCTTTTAGTTAGTGAATTGTGGCACTAGCTTCAGTTCGACTTGAAATAACTGAGTTTTATGAAGTCACACTCAAGTTTCCAGCAACAATGTAATGTAGCATGTTTTACTTTTCACACAAGAAGCTATATGGAAGGTAGGAACCTGGGAGACTTTTGTCCTGTTATTATAAAAGTTCACACGCAAGATTCCAACAACACAACTATCCGTTCCTAATACCTAGCTAATTATTATTGATGTTGTCCAGGCTTTGTGAAAAGTATATACAACTTTTGCTGATTGGCAAGGGCATGCATCATGCATAATTCTAGATGGCAAATTAATATATAAAAAATGGCAGATATTCATTCAGTAATTAATTTTGTGTCGGCTGTGGATTGATTTTAAGTTTTCTGACACACCTACGCAAGCTACACAGGTTTCTGTTCAAGGACAGCGCCTCATCAATAATGCAGCACTCCTGGGGAGTGGCGTTTTCGCCAAGAGAGTCCCCATATGGTAGGCCTCTGTAGACGTAACTATGTTGTCCAGGAAACATTTTCTCTAACTCTGATTGCAGTTCCAACAGTAGAAGAGATCCTCAAGAAAGAGAATATTGATGCCACATGTTCCGAGACTCACAAATACTTGGTCATAACTGGTGGACTAGCAGGAGGAGTGCTGTTTGTTGTCACTACTGCTAGTATCATTGCTGTAGTGTTTGTGTTGAAGTGCCGCAGACAAAGGTCTTTGGCTCCCAAAACCAGGCATGTTAAATAGAGTGTGCAGGCTCATCTAGCTATCATGATCAATATTTCTCGTATGTAGTAACACAGCCAGATTCTATTGATGTTGTTTTGGAAGATGAAACCTATGAGTAAGCTGTTTCATGTGATAATGGAGGCTTGATATAATTATACCCATTCAAATTTTCTCAGAGAACCTAAGTTCGAAACTACCACAAATCAGGCCTACAATGTTTTCAAAGAGAATGAAGGAGGGACAGAAGATGTTGGTTACACGACACCCGACACCAATTATATGAACACTGTGTTCTTATCCGAGTCTGCTGAATGTATTCCCAGTGTTGAAGACTCCATTTATGAGAACTGAATGAGAACTGATTTTTCATTGCTATTACTGTGTGTATACTCATCTGGAGTTGATTTTATTGACAAACATTTAGTTATCATGGAAATACTCCTGTGTGCCACATGTGTAGGAAGTTTGAGATGTTAAGAAGTAAAAGCAATAGTAGCTGCATTCTTAAAAAGTGGGAGAGAAGGGGAGGATATTGACGCAAGTAGGAGGGATGACTCAAAGCGGAAAAAAGAAGCCTTATTGTAAAGATACAACAATCCTGCCAGTTTGTTAATAGCACAGCACAGCATGCAGCACGCACATTACTGGGATGTCCCATACATTTTGAATCCCTACAAGCAAGTTACCCTGGTAGTTAAGTTGGTAGAGAGCCTGCCTAGACAGCAGAGTGTCGTGGGTTCGAATCACACCTAGGGCAGGGCAGATATTTCTTTTTCCGTCCTGGGTGAAGTTGACTTGTTTGCTTTGCCTTTACCTTTCTGCCTCACCTTGTTGCCTGCCACCTACACCTGCCTAGCTACCACCATAGAAAAGCTTAACCTCCTGCCCATGTAATGTGAGGATATACATGCTTTGTGACCATGCACACCTCAGTTCCAAAGGCACGACCCGTATAGAGATGTAGCTAGCAGACAGAAGAAGAGAATGATTGGAAGCTTTTTTTATAATCGTGAAAATGAGGAGTGCGGCTATATAGACTGGAAAACACACAGGCACCTTTTTAGGCCTTCCGTATAGGTGAAAGTAGAACTATAGGCAAGAAATATTATTCCCGAATGACTAGAATTCTTGATTAAAGAGTTATAATGGTTGCCCGTTCTCCTATGGATCAAGAGCTAATACACGTGCTGATTCATGGTAACAGCAAAAATATATCAATCTAGAAAACAATTTGGGGTTACAGAGAAAATACGCCAGTTGTGTGACTATATGTTGGCCAATGTCAACTTAGTATGTTTGTCATTTGTGCACGTATAATTAACCCTCGGTTATTATGTGTTTGGCTAGATAACGTATATCCTGTGCATGTGAGGCACCTAGACGATGTATAATTATAGCAAAGTCATTTTCTGAAAATAGTGCTAATCACTTTTTCTGTATCTGCCACAAGATTCATGCAAGTATTTGTATGAATATTTGCATACGCGATGCCACTACAGTAGAACAAACCTTTCGCATAATATTGCATTCTCGGTACTTCACCAATCTATTGTTTTTTGAAATGACTTTGAAAAGATTGAAATAGGGCAGGGGAATATTGCACTTTAGAAATATTGATGTCGTACAGCTAATGTTTGCTCTAGCTAAGGACCTGGCGCAGCTTGCATGTTTTAGCCCTCTTGTATTTAGCACTTACATACTGATATACCTACCTCCTGTGAAATTTTGATTGCAATCACAGCAGCAGAGAGTAATCAGGAGGCTAAAGATCACGAAGAACTGCAGCATTTCTTTCCTTTACTAATGGCTTTCTTTGCACACACACCATAACAAACTTCCACATTTGCACAAATGGAATTGAGCATACAGACCTATTGGCTACTGTATGAACTCTCGGTCACTCCAGGGGAATATCTTAGTCCACCAGGCTTGTCTCATATTTATACTGACCAGAATGCTATCCTACAAATGCACACTGTAAAAACAACCATACATTCCTCTTCTAAATGAAATTCAATAGTTTGCATCTGGCCTACACATGCGTCTAGTACATCTTTAGACTCAGAAATGAAAAAGAGTGAATGGTGATATGCTTTTACTGTGAGATTGCCTAGATTCACAGACGATTGTAGCAAACCGTATCTATTTCATGTTTAACCCTTTGGGCGCAATTTACATATAATATATGCACAGAGCCTCCATAAGTGCATAAGAATTTATATATGGCTATAATACTAGGCGCTAATATGTTATACATCAATTTCTGCTTATTTAAGGAGACACCTATGGCGCCCAAAGGGTTTTAATGAAACATTTTGCCATTCCTTTTCATTCAGGCAGGGCACACGATGGGGAAAGTCAATTTCTTTTTCACCGGACGACTAGCTACATGTGCTGAGTTTCGTGCGTGACAATTGCGCAATTTATCTTTGTGTTGGAGTCCCGCCTGCTCTTACTCTAAGAGCTACCGCAAGGCTGCACAGGTAGTTTGGGGAATGTTATATTGTAGGGTGAGAGTACATAGCACTCCGTGTCTGTGGGAGAGCCACTTGGGATATTTGCTGCTAGCTTTTGGTACAATAACATCATAATTATTGAGCACATGCCCAACCCGTGCTAATTCCTCATGGGATGTGTGAAAAATGTTGCATGTGCTCGAATTCCAAGGATAATGGTTGCTTATATTTTAATGGCTGTTCTTGGTTAGCTACATGAGTGATTACTCAAGGGTAAACTCTAGCATGATAATGTGTATTTCCTCCCACAGTGACATTGCTGGATGCACGAAGATCCTATGCGCTCACACACACTCAGATTGTGTTTCATTATTGGAAGTAAATAAGTGAGAATTAGCTTCATCAGGAGACAAAAAACTCTGTGTGGCAAAATACATATAACAATTATAGTAATGACCACACATTGTCAAATATCAAATAATTATATTGTGGTAAGTATTTAGGGTACTTGTGTCAGTAGTTTATCATTGTTGCCAGATTAACGTGACTTGTCTTGCTAAAACAATGCTTGCTATGCATGGTTTTGATAAACTGTTAATTATCATTTGTGTCCCTATTACAACGCTGCAGGTGAGACCTCCCCCAATCCCCCAGTCATTTGTTTGGGAGAGTTGTTGACTTGCGCAATAATTGACCCTCGGCGCGCACGCGCAGCGAGGGTTATGTAGTCGTTCTGTGTCTGTCTGTCTGTCTGTCTGTCTGTCTGTCTGTCTGTCTCTCTCTACGACTATTCTCGCACTACAGCCTACGAGGCGGCTTATGAGTTATACAAACAGCTTTAGCGGTACATGAGCTAGAAAATTGAAATGGCGATTTTGATGAAACGACTGCGTTCGAGAGCGACAAACTGGCACGGTCGCGGACCTATCCATTAATAAGCGGTGCGCATGCGTATATTAGAAGCGATTGGCTCACCTCGACCTGATCCACTTGCTCTAGCTATGTACCTTAGAGGCACAAGAAGCCACAGCGAAGGGTGTGTATCGACTCCCGCATACTATCTACTGTAGCCAGCCCGTGTCAGACTCTCCGCGAGCTACAGCGGGAGACCGCGAGTTAACGCCAATAGCCCAGCCCAGCCCATCCATTAGTAGCTAGGGCATGGGACATTCAGCCACCCTGGCTGAGTCTACCTCCTTTGGCTTTTGCACGAAGGCCACACCGCGCATGCGCAGTTCGCCGAGGGTTTGCACTTTAGTGCTTTTCGTTATTGTGGTGATGTGATGATCGTGTGGGGTTTAACCTATTAACATGGTATTGGGGTTATCAGCCTGTGTGCTGTATATATACATATGGATTCAATTTACTGAGAAGGTAATCTTAATTGCATTCTTACACTGGCCCGAAGTATATATCTTTAGTTACATTTAGCCCTTGTGTACTTTTACATTCCCTCTAACAATAGCCAGAGTGTAACATCTAAGTCAATGTTAATTATACACTCAACAAAATCTATGTTTTGTCATAAGATATTTACACCAATGGTATATAGAATCAAATTTCTGGAATCCTCAGGTGCACAAATTCTCACACCTGTGCTTCATGCATGAGAAGTGCCCTCCAGGGACTTATATTATACTTCATGCTTTCGAAGTTCCATGTGTAAACTCTTTTAGTTAGTGAATTGTGGCACTAGCTTGAGTTCGACTTGAAATAACTGAGTTTTATGAAGTCGCACTCAAGTTTCCAGCAACAATGTAATGTAGCATGTTTTATTTTTCAAACAAGCTAGAAGGTGGAAACCTGGGAGATTTTTGTCCTGTTATTATAAAAGTTCACACGCAAGATTCCAACAAGTCTACTCTTAAATTTTGCGTTGCTCTGTATTACCGACCTCCCTCTGCTTCTGTTAAGTGTTTTGCCTCTCTATCTAAAAATTTTTGCAATCTTAACCCTTCTTCAGTCATTCTAATTGGTGACTTCAATGTAAATTATTTTTGTACTACTTCTTTCCTTTACACCCATTTAATGTACTGTCTATCTCCATTTAATCTTACTCAAGTTGTGCAATCTAGTACTCGTAACACCCCATCTGGTTCGTCTCTGATTGATTTGATTTTTATATCCTCAATGTCATTTTTGTACACATGTTCTGCTCTTCCACCTCTGGGGACCTCAGACCATAGTGGTCTTCAGCTGGCGGTAAAGGTGATGTGTTTTGAAAGGAGTCAAGAAAATAAACGTCCTTTGTGGAACTACAGCCAAGGTGATATATGAAAGCAAGGCGTATGATTGACATTTTTGATTGGGATTCATTGTTTTCTGGTGATATCTCCGTTACTGTACAACAATGGCAAAGCCAATTTTTGCATATAATGGAACAGTGCATTCCCAGACTCTCGCATTCAAGTGCTCGTCTGCCATGGTTAACTAAAAGACTCATGAGATTAATAAAAAAGAAAAATTCCTTGTTTAGGGCTTGGAAAAAGAATGGCAGTCATGGAAAAGAGTCCATCAATTGACTAAGAGCTCAACCTCTATTCCTGTTCTAGTTCAGGGCAGTAAAAAAGCCTTTACTAGTAAAGAAAAGGCCGATGTTCTATCTGATACGTCCTTTAAGTATGTTCTCGTATAAAGCTCAAGAAACATTTTACCACAATCTTTTTTCCTGGTAGCTATGACTGTAGTTCCATTTGGTCGTTTGTTTTTTTTCCTCTGTAGGTATTTATAGACTTGCCTGCTTTTCTGGGGGAACACCATAAGATGTCTTGAATTGGCTACTTTTTAAGAAATCTTTAAATTCTTCCATTGCTCCTCTGACATTCGCAGATCTTGATCAGTTTGCAACTGGGCTAAACTCATGCCCTGATGAATTTCTATGTACAGTCGAAGAGATTAAGCATGAAATTGAGACTCTTGATGTTAGTAAGTCCTCAGGTCCTGATGGGATATCTGCTAGAATGCTTAAACCCGTGGCTAGAAGTATCGCACCTTCGGTCGCAAAACTTATAAGTCAATCCATTCAATCTGGTTGCTTCCCTGTGTTCTGGAAAATGTCTAACATTGTACCTATACCGAAGCCAGGACATAATGCAAACCCTAAAAACTACAGACCTATCTCTCTCTTATCTATCTTAAGCAAACTGCTAGAGAAGCATGTCCAACACCTATTGATGGACCAGATAATGGAGAAAAACATAATATCTGAGTCAGAGTGGGGGTTCCTTTCTGGGAGATCAACTACCTCAGCTCTGCTTTCTGTCACTGATAGCTAGCTGGCATAAACACTTAGAGGCAGGTCAGGAGGTCTGTGCCATTTTTCTAGACCTCCAAAAAGCATTCGATTCTGTTCCTCATCGTTGTCTTTTGTCAGTCCTACAGCAGATGGATGTCCACCCCATTCTACTGAGATGGATATGTAGCTACCTAACCAATCGAATCCAAAAAGTTGTGATCAATGGAGATTCCTCCTCTGACATTCATGCGATCTCTGGAGTTCACCAGTGTTCAGTCCTGGGGCCACTACTCTTCCTGTTGTATGTAAATGGTGCTACTGATTTGGTATTTTCACCTGGGTCTAAAATTACACTCTATGCTGATGACATTCTACTCTTCAAGCCAATTAATGATGCTATGGACTTCGTGCTACTACAGAGAGATGTAAACTCCTTGTTACAGTGGTCAGCCAGTAGATCTCTAACCTTCAACCCCGAAAAATGCAACTTTGTGATTGTGACAAGGAAAAGAAATACAATACATCCCCCTGCTCTGTTTCTTAATGGACAGGCTATCGGTAGGAGTATTTCACTACACATACCTTGGTGTTACTTTAACATCTGATCTCTCCTGGAGTAAGCACATCCATGGTTTTTGTACCAGAGCTAAGAAAATGCTTGGTCTTCTGTACAGAACATTCTACCTTCACACATTGTCTACAAATCTTCTGCAGCTGTATAATATCTCTCATTCGCCCATGTCTAGAATACGCATGCGAGGTTTGGAATCCTTATTTACTTAAAGACATTAAGAAACTTGAAAAAGTTCAGAAATTTGCTTTAAGACTCTGTGTAAAGCAATGGGACCTAGATTACACTTCTCTGTTGTTTATCTGCAATATCCCGTCACTCGACATTCGTCGTAAGAATATCAATCTTTGTACTATGTATAAAATTGTAAATCACCTGATGGATTTCCCCCCAAATGTGTTTTTACCAAGAGCCTCTTCTCTTCAGTCTACATACTGCTGTCTATTTTTACAACCTTTCTCCCGTACAAACTCGTATCTTTTCTCATTTGTGCCTAATACCTGCTCACATTCTCACATTGGAACAAGTTACCTCTTGATATAAGATCATCTGAAACTCTCCCATCATTCAAATCATCCTTGAAGGAATGGCTAAATATTTAATCGTTAATTTTCATACACCATGTATTAGCTTTTGGCTATTGTGTATGATTATAAATTGCTTAAAAAAATATATTAAAAAATAATATAAAAAAACACATCTATCCGTTCCTAATACCTAGCTAACTATTATTTATGTTGTCCAGGCTTTGTGAAAAGTATAATTATACAACTTCTGCTGATTGCAAGGGCATGCATAGATGACAAATAAATTAAAATAAAATTGACAGATATTCATTAAGTAATTAATTTTGCGTCGGCTGTGGATTGATTTGAAGTTTCCTGACACACCTAAACAGGCTACAGAGGTTTCTGATCCACTGTCAAAGGACAGCGCCTCATCAATAATGCAGCACTCCTGGGCAGTGGTTTTTTTCGCCAAGAGAGTCCTCTCATCTCGTCGAACTGTAGCACCGGACCTGAGCGGCACCTTTGAAATGAAAAGCACTGAAGTGCAAACCCTCGGCGAACTGCGCATGGGCGGTATCGCTAATGATGGGCTGGGCTATTGGCGTTTGCCCGCGGTCTCCCGCTAGTATATAGCTCGCGGAGAATCTGACACGGGCTAGCTACGGTAGTAGATAGTATGCGGCAGTCGATACACGTCCATCGCTGTGGCTTCTTGTGCCTCCTAGAGCAAGCGGATCAGGTAGAGGTGGAGCCAGCATACAGCGTATATACGCATGCGCACCGCTTAATGATGGGTTGGGCCACGGAACTCGGTCCGCGACAGTGCCAGTTTGTCGCACTCGAACGCCGTCGTTTCAGGAAAATCGCCTAATACATTTTCAGGTTCGCGTACTTCTAAAGCCGTTGGTATCGCTCATTAGCCACCTCGTCGCCTGTAGTGCCAGAATAAGCGTCGACACACACACACACACACACACACACACACAGACAGACAAACCAACTACCGTAACCGCGCTGCGCATGCGCGCCGAGGGTCAACAAATAACGGGCCATAAAGTACAAACACTTTTTTCGGTTCGCAGCATCTCTTTGGTTTTGTACTTGCGCGAGCTAGCTAGCCCGACAATGGCGCCAAATTTACTATGCACACCTTTCCACGTCAAAACACGAGCCGCAGCAATGGGACTACAAACTGCGCCGCCATACCTAACCTCACAGTGTAGACATTATTGGCGAGCGGAAGCGAGCTAACCTAGTGGTCCGAACGGCGCGATTTTTCTATATATATATATATATATGTCACCGTACGTCGTCCAACTGCGCATGCTCCAGCATTACACGCTTCTTTTTATCCGAAAGGGATTTCAACATTTTCATAATGCTGAGCGGAATCAGGGGGAAACGCAACACCTCCGAAGCTATCGAGTATTGCTGCACAGTCCAGCGAGAGATTTTTCTACATTGCCACTTGTTCCCTATTCCTGCAAGACCAATCAGATTGCCGGATTATGCCTGATTCGCGCTGTCGTCTGACTGTTTTTGACTCGACTCGAATTGTCTACTGCGCTCGGGTCGTTTCGGCCTACTTGGTCCTGTGCAATGTATCTCACTGTTTTGTGCACACACAAGAGTGACTCATACGATTAGACACCAATTGTAAGCGCGCTTCCGCTCGCCAAAAATGCCATGCATTCCCCTACTAGTATTATTGTGACCAGAGGGACGCGGTGGTGGCCACTGGCCCGGCGGGGAAATAAGCAGCGCCGGCGCGCGAGGTCGGCGCTCCCGCCGCATACGGCCGTACACGTACGTACAGATCGCGCATGCGCATGCTCATAGCGAATCTAATAGTCGATAGCTATCTGCTATCAGAACCTTCTGTTGCCGGGATCATGAGGACGGCCCTTCTAATGATATTCTTCTGGCTTTTGACGAAGGTTCACTCCCAGACCTTTCCTTTTGTCTCCTTCATGGGCCAGACTCTGGCCAACCATTCCTATGTGGACCTCAGTCTAGTGGGGACCAGTGATAGTAACGGTCTTCAGTGTATCACTGACCTCCACACATGTTGTAGTAGTTCTCAGGGAGCTCATCGTGGAGACTGGTATTTCCCTAATGGATCTATGCTACGATTTTCTGGAGATGTTTTTGAAGTTCGTGGAGCTCAGAGAGTTGATCTATGTAGTGGTGTTTCACCAAGTCATGGTATATACTGCTGTGCTATATCAACTAATGTGGTCCATGACGATTATGATATCTCTGTGAGAGGCTCTTTCTGCGTGGGTTTGTATCCCTCCAACGAAGGTATATACTTCGAGAACTTTATGTATAGATTTCACAAAAACATGCACATATAGATATTGGCTACTTTATAATTGCAGGAGCTATCACAATATCCAGAGTGGTGTTTAACTACAGCTTGAAAATCCTTACCTGCATCTCTACTGGTGGACCAGCGACCACAGTCAGTTGGACAAGAGATTCCATCGCTCTCAATGAAGAATCTGTGTCTTTGGTTGTTAACCGAGTGACTGCGGAATATAAACACACACTGACAGCAGATTCTGCAGGAAAGTACACGTGTACAGTAAAGATCAATTTGCCCTCCAGTGCCTCAGCTAGCATCACCGTAGCTGGTAATGTATATGGGGCAAAAATATTAGCTAGTGTTAAATTCCAATAACATGTACAGGTACATCACCTCCCACTGATGTGATAGCAGCCCAGGATGGTCTTACGAGTATCTTAGTGTCTTGGAGTCCTTCCAGCGATGCTACTGGCTACACGATCTGCTATGACAGTAGTGGAGGGCACAGTGGAAGTAAGACTGTTAGTGGTGGATCCACTGACAGCTACCTACTGACTAGTCTTCATAATGGAGACTCCTATAACATATCAATAACAGCCACATCATTAGACCTACCACCAAGCACCCCCTCAGTATTTGAAATTCAGCTAAGTCAGTATGATAGCTACATGCATGTATGCATATAAATCATAACCTAATATCTAGTCCCAGTTCCAGGGCAGGTGCTGGTGTCAGTGAGCTCCATAGCAGCCACCTCCATCTCCCTCTCCTGGAGTGTGTCCATTGGGATGGTGGCCAGTTGGGAGATGGTCTGGAGACCCACTGACAGAGGCACTGAGAGCACCAGTGGTCCTCTGTCTGGCACTACCTACACCATCCACCAGTTGGACCCCTCCACTATCTACACACTCACTGTCACAGCTACCAATGTAGCTGGAACTAATACTAGTCTTCCCATCATCATTTCTACTGGTACTCAAAATTATACTCCCAGAGCTTCTGAAATACTATCATTATAGCTACAGGTGAATTCGCTACCAGTTACCCACAAGATGCTGGGTTTGAGATTGCAGCAGGAGTGGTTATCACACTACTGGCTATAGCGACCGTTGCTGGAATGATAGTCATCATGGGTTTTCTCTATAAAAGTGGCAGACTACACTCCATCTTCAAACGGATAATTTTGAATGCTTCTAAGTGCCTTTCCTCCATCAGTAGGAGAAATAGTGAAATGCAGCTTCCTTTTATGACATCAGAGAGGTATATATGTAGGTATGTACCTATATTTACGTATTATCTTTTGAATCTGTTTTAAAAGGGAGACAGACCCATTCAGGACAACAAGGAACGAAGCTTACAATGCAGAGGTAGTAGAGCAAGGAGGGACTGAGGCAGGCTATGATACACCATACAGACTCTCACTCTCTCTCACTGAGAGTGTTCAAGTGACTAAACCTTGAGTCTCTTATCAAAAACATCAATGATTGGGTGTATATATGTATGCATAAAGTATTAACTACCGAGGCTTGTTTGTGATTCACTTCCTTTCAGATTTTCTGTTGTCGTAAAGTTTCTTGACCTACATATCTTGGGAGTAGCTAAGTCAATAAGCACTAGAGAGTCTCCAAAACGTACTTGTTGTGAAGACAAGCTGAAATACAGAGCAAACAGGTTTCACGTGAGGGACACCATAAAGCTTAGGAATGTCACGAGAATTCCACCTGTCCAAAGTACGGGTGTGCTATACACGAAGGACAACAAAAGACCAAACAAATTACCAATAGAACACAAGATTACAAACTGACTCCAAATGCGTTTTTCATATCAAAAAATTCAGCAAATCAACACTTCCACGTATTATATATTATTCAAAATCACTTCAGCTCTATACCAATACTCACGGCGCTATCTATAAGCTACACTCTATTGCATGCACCGGCTGCTGCCTTGCCTGGTGCATGCATTGTAGAATCAGGTTAACAGGACTAGCGTTAACTAGATTCCAAGTTGTTCCGTCGTACCCGATTGCGCGGCGTATGCGCGGGTGCAGGCGCAGAAACGTGGGCTCCGCGCGTGTTAAGTTCGGTGTCCCATACAACCGAGAAGTTGTGTTGCAACCTAAAGAATTATGCAAGTAATGCTACTGATATTGTTGCTCGATTCCTGTCTTCAGTTCGTGGTCTCCCAAGGTATATAATTATAGCTAATAGCTAATCCGTTTCTGATTAGCTCTAATCAGCTAGCTGTCTTTACTAAAATTATATGGGCCAATTGCCCTTGTGTCAGAAACCGTCCCAAGTTAGATTAATAGGGATGTGTGTAAGCAAGTAACGACAGAGCTATGATGACCGTGGCTGAGCTCAATCGTTCATGTGCAGAAGCGTGTCAGTCGGAGCAAACTATGCGCGTCCTCCGTCAGAGGTCAAACAGGTTCACATATATAATTATATAGCCAGTCACTCTCGCGAAAAGTAAGGCTGGAGTACCGCCCAAGTATGTTAACCAGAGCATAGTCTCATTTGATGCAACTCAAGCGTATTATTGTTGTGGCTCTGTCTACCTTGGAAAGTCAGGACATAATGCTTGTCAGTGGTCCAACTGTAACCAGGTAGCTAGTATACAATCTGTTCAGTATGTGAGTGACATCTCACTGGATTGGTATAATTATAGTAAATTTTTTCCAGACACCTACTGAAGGGAAAGTCAATTCAGTAATTTTGCTGCTTGCCTTCATAGCTGCCTGCAGTGTCAGACAGGCCTATAGTGATGAGATAGGAGATGAGTTTGCAGCAAATATAACAGGGTGCCTTGGATATTCGGAGCAATTGGTGGGTGCATGTTGATCTTTATTGCAAAGAGAAATTTGAAACATTGGTGGCTAATGTTTCCCTCTCACCCTATTCTTCTCCCCTTATTTATATCTGTTTTCCCTGTGTGCACTTTAATTGGGGTGAAGCCAGGTTTTTGTTGCGTACATATAATACAGCCTCATATCCAATACCTAAGCTTAAGTTGAGAACTAACAGAATAAAAGGGGTGTGCAATGCTTGCCTTGCATCATTAGTCTCCTTTAACTCTCCAATATTTCTGTTTCGTCAAGATAATATTGTGCAGTTGACTCCAGAAAAACTCAGAGTCAATGAAGGCGACGATGCCAGCTTTACCTGTTCTCCTTGGATGGCGGAGGCCCCAACCCTCCTAATCACTATAGCTCCTGGCACTGCTCAGTCAGAGGGAATTGCCAACACAGATAGTAGAATCAAAGTCACTAACATTCCTTCCAATGACAGTGCGGGAACTACCAATTTCACCTGGCTCAGTTCGAGTCTATCTGACAATGGCAGACAATTCTTTTGCCAGATTGGCTCTTTTTTTATCAAATTCTGTGACTCTATACATTAATTGTGAGTCTTAATTCAATATATAGCTATTTCTTTGATCTTTCCTTCCCGCTAGTATCATTGCTTCTCATGTATTCAAACTTATAATATCTCCTTATAGATCCCCCTGCTATTGAAGCTGCAGAGGCAGAGTATTTTCAGACAGCAGGAGAGAGTGTCCTAATCCCTATTGCAGTTGGTGGTTCGCCTCTCCCGACTCTATCCTGGACTCTCAATGGGGCTATTATCACCAACTCTACCTTTCGGAACCTATCCATCTCTGGTCTTTACGTAGCTTCTCTCTCCCTTGGTGATGCAGGACTCTACGTTGTGACAGCTACTAATGGGCTTGGTAGTGCTTCAGTCAATTTCGCAGTCAGATGTAAGTCTTAAGTGTTAGATGAATGAGTTACACACAACTGCATGAAAATAGGATAACCCCAGATGCATAATCATAATAATTATTCAGATGCAAGGTTAGGTGCATAAATACAATCACACTTAAACTGGTCCACAAAGTGCTTCGGAAAAATACACTGCATGTTTGCTTGTTGGGCTTAAAAACTTCTTGGAGTCCATCCACTGGCTACATCATCCATTATGACAGTGGTGGAGGTCACAGTGGCAATGAGACTGTTAGTGGTGGTTCTACTGACAGCTACACACTGACTGGTCTTCATAATGGAGAGACATATAACATATCTATTGCAGCCCTGTCAATAGATTTACCTAGTAGTGCTGTGTCTGTGGAGTTTGAAATCACACTAAGTGAGTGAAACCTTTCCTTAGCCTATCTCTTATCTAGAAACTCTGACATTGTCATTTGCTTTTCTCATGAGCCTCTTCCACAATACCTCCCTAATCCAGTCCCAGTTCCAGGACAGGTGTTGGTGTCAGTGAGCTCCATAACAGCCACCTCCATCTCCCTCTCCTGGAGTATGTCCAGTGGGATGGTGGCCAGTTGGGAGGTGGCCAGGAGACCAACTGACAGAGTGTCTGAAGTGCACTTTTGTTTGGCACTACCTACACCATCCACCAGTTGGACCCATCCACCAGTTGGGCCCCTCCACTATCTACACACCCATTGTCACAGCTATACAATACCTGTGGCAGTTCCAGTTGTGAAGTAACCACTGTGAGGGTGACTTCAATAGGGTTGACAGACCTGGCAAACAGACACACACTAGCTCTTTCACAGCTTTCCATTACAGTAATGGCGGTTTCAGTGAACCCGACTTCCACTAAGCAGGGAGGGAGGGAGGGTAAATATCACGATCAGGAGGGAGCAAAAATAGTGGCAGAATTGAAATGGGTCAAGGAGATACTGTAAAACTATAATGCATTTTTAGAGAGTAAACACTAGTGAAACACATGTGATGTTCTCATCTGTCTATTACTTCATGAAACATTGTGGTAAGTGTGACGTTGCCCTCATTGGATAGTACATCAAAACCACAGATTCAGCTGATGAACGCTGGCTTCGCTTTCCCACCAGTTTGCATTCACATAATTATAAGCAATTACAATCGTATTCTCACCTTTTGCAGCACGGATAATAAGAGTTGCTTCACTGAGAATGATGTCATTTGTTGTACCCCCTGCTCTTTTTCTTAAGGTGATTGTTATGGTTTTATCCACCAGCAGAGGCATGCCATCATCCATCACCCTCACATTCAGCAGAATATCGTCCACACCCAGAATGATGCTGGTGTTGCTCACTTCTACCTCTATATGGTCGACGGAAGATAGCTTTCTGATACTTAAGAGGTAGCTACTCTAACTGCTGCTTAGTCAAAAGAATATGCTGTGGGTGTAGTGGAAATTTGTAGCCCTGGATCTCCTGCCACTGGTTATTTTTGCAGGGTTCTTATGTAGCTATTATTTTTATTATTATTATTATTTCAGCTTTACAACACAGGTAGGAGGTGATGCCATAAAGAAGTGTGACAGATAACATGGGAGGTGGTGACAACTGTGTTGAAGGACTGAAGGCATCAAGCCAGCAGCCATAAAAATAAAAATAAAATTACACAGAATAGGACATAACATGGACAACATTTAGATAAAACTAGTGAAATGCATTGAGATGGGAAGCTTAGAGCATTTTTGGCATGGACAGACATAGTGATAGGAGCATACATTATCAGAATCAAAGTGTGAGATGAAATGAATCCAAAAGAAGTTTCGCAGTCTAGACTTGACGGTAGCAATAGGGAGATTAATGTCAAATGATGGTAGAGAATTCCAAAGGCGGGGAATACGATTGAAGTAAAAATTTCTCTCAGACTGGTTTTTACAAAAGGAGTGCCTTAGCTTGAAATGAGAGGATGAGCGTGTAGGGTTGTCACAAAATTTGACATAATTGAGTATATTGAAGTGTTCGGAGGGGAATTTTAGGGACTTGATGAGAAAGATAATATCAGCAATTTCTAACTCCATCATTAGCGGTAAGAGATGTAAATACATCAGACGATTTTTATAATCCATTGCAGTACCCTTCATGACAAATTTTGTTGCTCTTCTTTGAACGAGTTCCAGACACTTTATATCCATCAACAAGTGTGGATGCCAAATGACCGAACAATAGAGCAACTGAGAGCGTACAAGGGATGTATACAGGTAGCGTTTAGCGAATACGGACATGGAGTTTGAAAAAACTCTGCGAAGCAGACCTAGCATTTTGTAAGCTTTGGATGTGATCAGCTGATAATGCGGTCGCCACCGTAAGTTGGTTGATACAATCAATCCAAGATCCTTTCCTGTGGATTTATTAGAAATTTCTTTGCTATTCATTATATTATAGCTGTGTACACTGCATAGTCAACCGGGTGAGGTTGACAATCAGTTTTAACACTTCACTAGTAATGCAAATGACTTAGAAACACAATAGTTGCAAACCAGAAAAAGAGTTGAGGGAGGTCTACATAGCTTATCTCATATTGTTTGTTAGATCATAGATCAAAATTCGTATGCTCTATTCCTATAGACGCACTGGAACATTATTATAAATCTTACCATTGGGATCAATAATGCAGCACTCCTGGGGACCCCTCGCACCCCGTCGAACTGTAGCACCGGACCTGAGCGGCACCTTTGAAACAAATAACGGACCATAAAGTACAAACACTTTCACATTTCGGTTTGCAGCATCTCTTTGGTTTTGTACTTAGATAGCCCGACAATGGCGCCAAATTTACTACGCTCACCTTTCCATGTGCAAAACACGAGCAGCAGCAGTGGAACTACAAACTGCGCCGTCATACCTAACCTCACAGTGTAGATACTATTGTGACAAGAGGGACGCGGTGTGGTGGCAACCGGCCAGGAAATTATAAACCAGCGGCCGGCCGGCCGGCGCGAGGTCAGCGCTCGCGCCGCATACGGCCGTACGTGATCAATCAATCATCATCATACCCTGGGTTTACAGGAGTTGTAACACAACACGCACACAAAAAAATAATGGAACATGGAGAGACATAGTCCGGGGTTTAGGTGAGAACGGCAAGTCTGGTGAGAGGCAAAGACAGCGCTGTCGGCAGCACGAACCAAGGGGGCTACCCATCCCGCCATGACATCCAACAGAGGCCACGTGTTCGTGTCTAGCAGGGCTGAAGTCACTCAAGTTGACTTGCCTGGAACCTCATACCACCGTAGATCAGGATTGCGGGGGCGTAGGCAGAGGTGAGATACCATCACAGACTGTCGGCAACACGAACCAAAGGGGCTACCCATCCCACCATGACGTCCACGATACTACAGACGCCACGTGTCCGCGTCTAGCAGCTGCCTGTTGCTCGAAATCCCCGGTAGGCACCCCACACCCGTCAGAGGGTGAGGGTCTCTCGTGTGTGCTTTACAGATCGCGCATGCGCATGCTCATTGCGTGAAAAATAAATCTAGTCGATAGCTATCTGCTATCAGAACCTTCTGTTGCCGGGATCATGAGGACGGCCCTTCTAATGATATTCTTCTGGCTTTTGACGAAGGTTCACTCCCAGACCTTTCCTTTTGTCTCCTTCATGGGCCAGACTCTGGCCAACCATTCCTATGTGGACCTCAGTCTAGTGGGGACCAGTGATAGTAACGGTCTTCAGTGTATCACTGACCTCCACACATGTTGCAGTAGTTCTCAGGGAGTTCATCGTGGAGACTGGTATTTCCCTAATGTATCCATGCTACGATTTTCTGGAGATGTTTTTGAAGTTCGTGGAGCTCAGAGAGTTGATCTACGTAGTGGTGTTTCACCAAGTCATGGTATATACTGCTGTGCTATATCAACTGATGTGGTCCATGACGATTATGATATCTCTGTGAGAGGCTCTTTCTGCGTGGGTTTGTATCCCTCTAACGAAGGTATGTACTTCGAGAACTTTATGTATAGATTTCAGAAAAACATGCACATAATAATATTGGCTACTTTATAATTGCAGGGGCTATCACAATATCCAGAGTTGCGTTTGACTACAGCTTGAAAATCCTTACCTGTATCTCTACCGGTGGACCAGCGACCACTGTCAGTTGGACAAGAGACTCCATCACTCTCAATGAAGAATCTGTGTCTTTGGTTGTTAACCGAGGGACTGCGGAATATAAACACACACTGACAGCAGATTCTGCAGGAAAGTACACGTGTACAGTAAAGAACAATTTGCCCTCCCGTGCCTCAGCTAGCATCACCATAGCTGGTAATATTGGGCCAATATATTCTAGCTAGTGTTAAATTCCAATAACATGTACAGGTACATCACCTCCCACTGATGTGATAGCAGCCCAGGATGGTCTTACGAGTATCTTAGTGTCTTGGAGTCCTTCCAGTGATGCCACTGGCTACAAAATCCCCTATGACAGTAGTAGAGGGCACAGTGGAAGTAAGACTGTTAGTGGTGGATCCACTGACAGCTACCTACTGACTAATCTTCATAATGGAGACTCCTATAACATATCAATAATAGCCACATCATTAGACCTACCACCAAGCACCCCCTCAGTATTTCAAATTCAGCTAAGTCAGTATGATACACGCATGTATGCATATATATCATAACCTAATATCTAGTCCCAGTTCCAGGGCAGGTGTTGGTGTCAGTGAGCTCCATAGCAGCCACCTCCATATCCCTCTCCTGGAGTGTGTCGAGTGGGATGGTGACCAGTTGGGAGGTGGTCTGGAGACAAACCGACAGAGTGTCTGAGGTCACCAGTGCACTTTTGTCTGGCACTACCTACACCATCCACCAGTTGGACCCCTCCACTATCTACACACTCACTGTATCAGCTACCAATGTAGCAGGAATGAATACAAGTCTTCCTATCATTGTTTCTACTGGTGAGCCAATGAATTGTGTGAAAGTAGAAAACTGTTGTATTATTCCTACAGTGACTAAGATTATCCAGAATGAAAACGTCTCATGTTCATGTTCAAAAACGTCACAAACTGACACTGCTATAATAAGTGTAGCAGCAGTTGCTGTTACTTTTATTGTCACCATTGCTGTTTTAGTATTAAGCTTTCTGATGGTTAACAGATGTATACAAAAGACTGCAACAAGTAGGAAGACCAGCAGGTGAGTTTTACTGTGGTAACTAGTATGCATTATACATTAGAGGACCAGTAATTAAACGTGCCATATGGAATTTCAGACGAAACCAATGTGTAAGAAGAAATCCCAAAAAATATTTTATAAAGTTCAAAATCGCTGTTTTTTAGTGAGCCACAAACAACAACCAACGAGGCATATGATACTGTGAGGGAGGCTGGAGTTGATGATGATATCAACGAAGCATATGAAGCAGTTAGAGTGGTTGAGGAAGAAACAAATGTTGATTGTAGAAGTGGGCTTCATACAACTACCAATGTGGCATATAACACAGCGAGACAGATTGGAGAAGAACCAGATGATGAATACGAGTTTCCTGAGAGCATTACTCTGGAACACCAGCCCACCACAGCTCGAGACTCAGTCTATGCGCAAGTGCAACACGGTGCAGAACCTGACTCAGTATGACTAAAAAGGAACGTAATTAAAACCTGCACAGTTAGCTACTTGCAATAATTATACTTAAGTTTGCCTGCATTCATGTTCAATTCTTATTACCCTACCCTCTTCATTCAGATTGCTATATAGCCCTATTATGATCGTGCTACTGTAAAGAGATGGCTTGTAGCTACCTTTACTTTTGTTGTGAAAGGCGCCCAACACTGTGTTTACAGCCATAATGATGGTCGTGTTGGAAAAGTGTTGGCTATGAAAGTTATTTCTAGGGAGAATGTGTGATTTTAACACACAATGTTGTTTACCAGGCATGGCTTCGGGAATCCAGGCCATGCTTGTTTAGTGCTTGCTTGCTGTCAAAATTGCATACTTGGTGATAGCTAACATCATACAAAAGTTTCAATTCTCAATATATACCATGTTAGTGGCAAACTCTTTCCTCGGGTCATGCATTGATACAGCCCATGCATGCTCATCAGCATGGATGAAAAAAGCTACTGTAAATACACGCAAGATAATATGTGAATGCATTTCTATTGAGAGTTGCGTGAAACATTAGGGCATGTGCAACAGCTTGGCTGCATGAATACATTATTCAGCAGATACTAGGTATAGGGTCTCATTTTGCTTGCCTCAGGAGAGACTGTATAAAGGGGGTGTTTTAACGAGTGTAGTTTCCCCGTCATAATTATACCATCTCACTGACGAGCTCTTGCAGTCCAGGACCATTGGCATGTTGCTCCTTGTGTTGTGACAATGCACACGTTGGTATCCTTCAATCTCTCCAGAAAAACTCTCTATACAATAATACAGCTACGTAGCTGTTATTACGGCCCACTGCTTGCAATGCATAATTATAATATTTGTATGAGAGGTGTATAGAAACACAATAATGTCCTTGAGTGAGGACTAGTCAGATGTTGATTTCTGCAAATCCCTTGGTCACCGTCTGTCTGCAGTACTGAAGACAGAGGTGGACTGCCTGCTTTAGCACTGATGACAGGTCCATGTTCATTGAGAGACTGAGCAGAAAGAGAGAGAGAGAGAGAGTTTTATAAAATACCGCCTGACTGGTCAGCTATACTGTCTTAGTCCAAAACAGCGATTACAATGACTGAGTAATTGGATATGATTGCAAACTGACAATTTAAGGGTAGTCTCATGCTCAGTCATCTGCCTTTCGATTTCACAAAAATACCCTTGTTCAGCAAAACCAATAATTAATCCCAGACTTTTGGTGTAAACAATCGTCAGGAGTATGTTAAGTAACACGGAGGGGGACATCATTCTTCCAGGGAGAACAAAGCATTGTCATGCAGGCAAGTGCTCAAGGATATAGACTGCTAATAGTACAGAGACCGATGGCTAACCTGTTGAGACAGCCGTACACACTGGCAGCATCAGTTGACTGACAGATCTTGTCTCTGTGGAGAGTGAGGATGGCCACACACACAAAGAGGTCAAAGGTGAACTCAAAGTTCATCATTCCTCTGCCTGGTCTCATCTCACCACCTGATACAATGGCCAGGGAATGTATATACATAACAGATAAATCTAGGGCACAGTGAAAGTTCTTTCCCGTTTTCAGTTAGCCCTACTGCCGCATTACCATTAAGACACACACAACATTACCAAACACTCTTCTAACAAACCCACCCTCATTGAGAAACTCTTTAGCAATGGCCTTGTCTGTCTCCACCTGTGCCTTGTCCGAGTACAGCTCCAGATAGTGGGTCCCTAATACCTGAATTTACGTACAACAGGTGGTCAATGAACAAAATAGCCTTGATTTCTTGACTGCACCACTATTAAGGGGGAAAATTCCTTGGCTTGGATGTTATTACACACACACTACCAAGAAACACTAAGCTGCTTTGTTTACTCTACAGTACATTTCTATGGGACCACAGGGCTTCAAACTATATAGCACTCGCCCGCCCACCCGCCGCGGGTAAATTACGGCGTGGACGGGCGTTAACGCCTAAAGCGGTCGCCCGGCTGGCGAGAGACACACTAGACAAGTTGTATTAACGTGGTTTAGTTGGACGTGAGCCAGCGTCTTCGCCGCGGCGAACTGGCAATCGAATACGCGACGCATGGGGGCGGGGTCTGATATTCGCGCATGCGTACTATGTAGTTTACACAAGTGCACGCGGTGTGCTTTGTACTCTTTTGACAACCATGTGGAGGTATTTGGAAGGAGTACAGGAACCTCCAACTAGACAGTCAGATGAAGACATTGTTTGTGATGATGTGTAATTGATTCTGTGCCTTCAATTTGGGCTAGTGTGAAAGCTGTTGGCTATATATAGAATTGAGAGCTTATTGGCCAGTTGGGGGAAATGTTAGATTGCACCCATGGACCATATACAGTAAGAGTGAAGGGGAATGTGTCAGTAAGGCTAAAGATTGAACTCGCAGTGAAAGAAGAGTAACCGTTTCTTTCTTTAACCCATTCCCTGAGATAGGAACTAACTTCAAAGATTCTGAGGCTGTCTTGGAAGGTGAACTCTCTCTTGAAATCGAGGAGGAGCCAGCGGTGGCAGAAGAGGTAGTCGTGACACTCTGAGGACTCAAAGAACTGGTAGAGGTCTCTGTCTATCTCGGAGATGAGCTTCCTCACCAGAGCTGAGAGGAGGAGCAGTGAAAGAGAAAGTAACCGGGGGAATATTAGGAGGGAAGGAGTGTATGCCATCTAGTGAGTAAAGGATGTGTAGATAGCCAGTTTATAACAAGTTACGTTGGTTACATTGCACAAACGGTACATTGCACAAACGGTAGGCTAACAAACAACAGTAGCAGGACGACGAAGGCAAGTGGCTCACCAACTTTCCTCATCATGGAGACCTCCATGAAGTCAATCCTCTTGTCCTTCATGTAGCGCTCAAACATCCAGAAGGCATCGACCTCCGAGTCTGTCACGACCAGGAACCTCGCCAGAAGGTCGTTCATTCCCTGGGCATAGCCCATCTCTGAGTGGACCAGAATAGTACAACAACAATGTCAGTAGCACTGCAACTGTACTTGGTGGTCTCAAGGAGAAGAGAAACTCAGAGCAAAAATGTTGAGATAGACCGGTGTGTGTCTTGCACTTGTATTGTTCTATGTTTAGTAACACTTCTAAATTTAGCCCTTATCTACCGCCACATCCCCTTTATACTTGGAGAATTTACAGTCATGAATTTTTCAATATGAACTCCAGTGTTTCCCGCAGGGTAATACTCAAACAGGGTGCTTATGAATTATATACCTCAGGTCTCTGGCTGAATAATAATACTTGCTACTCAGCACTTCCTGTTGGGAAATCAATACTTGCCTAAAGCCTTTCAAGTGCTACACTATACCCAGCGCAACTGCACACAGTGTAATAGCCATTTTACACATGCGCAATAATTGCACACTCCCATTTTCGGGCTTTTTCGATCCGGGCATAGCGCCCGGTAGTTATAATGGTGTGGGAAACACTGGAACTCTAGGGGAGCGTCATACGTAATGATGTATATATGTATGTTGGCTCACCAGGATGGAACATGGCGTAGATGAGGAGAATTCTGTGGACTTTCCTCAAGTTCCTCTTGTGACTGTTAAGAGCAGTGGGAGAAGAAGGGAGGGAACCGGGGAGAAAGAGGAGACAAAGAGAAAACAGAGATGCAAAATGAACGCGCTGTAATGACAATATAAACATACATCAAATGCTCCACCGAATGTACATAGCATGTATACCACAGCCATGTGACAGTAGTAAGTGAATGGCTCCATCCTACTTTCGTGAAACTTCCTGCTCACCTTCACTCGCAACATAACGCTATATATACAGGTATAAGTTAGATGCAGAGACGCAGGAACAATACAGAAATGAAGGTGTGGTCGTCATTGCTCGAAGTGCCCATGGGTTTCAAAACGTTAGTGAGTTACCATAGACTAATATACAACAGAAGTACAGTACAGGAGGAATACATGTATAGAGGTTGGACCTGAAGTAGTGGAAGTTCCTGTCAGTCCTGAGGACGTCTCTGAGAATTATTCTCTTGTCCTTGGCATACCCAGTCTCCAGCTCCAGTGGCTGTCTCGCTGCAAACACCTGAACAACCACATCAACACCCATATCTCATTTCACTTCATAGGAGAAATATAGAGCTGTTCACTCTGTGACCAAATCAACATGATTCGCATTCGTTCCAGTAGTATACATATCGGTTCAGAGGACTACAACTAATCGGTAAACAACACCAAAATTAATTGTTGTATGGGTTTCCATATGTTTGTAATACATTTCTTTTGAGCAAATGATGGCCAAGCACACAAAAGGCATGGCAAAGCATCTATCGTTCGATGTGTAACAGAACGATGAATGCATTACAGTAAGAGTTAGTGCGTGTATGATGTACACATACATATACATTGTACATACCCGTGATGGAAATTCTAGGATGGAGAGCAAGGCTCTGCCGTCCTCGTCAACAAGATCTTCCCAACTGCGACGTCTGAAGTCACACTCACACTTTGGCTGGCGGTTGGACTCTGCTTCATCTGACAATCATTAATTACAGACACTCAGTAAAGCCACCACTTGTATAATTATAATAGGCAGTGGGCTACCACAATATACGCCTGGCATTGACCAGTTGTTTTGCTACGTACAAGTACGTAGTATATGTGGCCCATGACACAATCCATTCAAGAATACGACAGCGATCGGCTGCATATCCAGTAGACACTATACTCACTAATGCATGCTGTATACATAGACATACCACCATTCACTAAGGCCTCTCTATCATCAGTCTCCTCTTCCTCCCTCCCGTTATCCCTGGCACGACCCCGTGACCTCTCCTCCAGTAACCCAGCCGCAGCACTCAGCACTACATTCCCATCGCTTGGACTCTTGTGTCTCGGTTCCACGCCACCAGTGTCGCTGGAACGAGACCTATCCAGCTCGGCCCTCCCGTCGGGGAAAGGGTTTGAGAGACTCCGTCCACACTGAGACAATCCGCTCTCTCGTGGTGGGCAGTAATTGGAGTCGTCACCATCGTCGTCGTCACTAAGCTCCATGTAGGGAGGAGACTCGGAGAGGTCGTCGTCGGGCATTGCCACATTCTTATCAATGTTCTCCCACCTGCACACATACAAACCAAGTCAAAACATTAAATTCTAAGCTTGAAAATAAATGGCCAGCCCTGCATCTCTCCAGACAGACGTCTACGGACGCAGTGCTATGCCGAACTATACGCTGCCCTTTGAGAAACATGGGTCAGTGGTAGGTTTGTGGGTAAGGGGAGGAACCAGAGCTCCCCCCAGCCAATGCTCTGGACCATCTGTCAGTTTCAGTGCTTGTCCGGGATTCGAACCTGAATAGCTGCAGACCCACAAACAGAGCAAGAGGTGTAAGCCATGCGTGCCGAGGAACTAAGGTACCAAACAAACACTCATTATCTGTAACTCTGGTTACCAACCAGAGCAAGGATGGTCCGCCATATTCCCTCTACGGATGCTATGAATGCTAGGTAAAACGGGAGGAAGTTAACGGCTATATCAGAGTTGAACCTCTGATTAGTGAAGATAGAATGAAATAACTCAGCCGGTGTACTAGTAATACGAGGTTATTCTCTCACCTCTTGCAGAGGGCCTGGTACTGAGACCTGTTCTCAAGGTCAAAACAAAAAAAAATTTAAAAAATAAAAAAAAAAAAACATCATTACACAAAAAAACAATAAAAAACAAACCCGCAAACCCCGCTAACCAAAACCACCCACACACCACCAGCCGCAACCGAACACCCCAACATCCCCCCCACCCAAAGCAAACCACCCACCACGAGGGCACGTCCACACCTCGCCCCCCCCTCTGGCCCATGGCCCCCAACCCACCAATCAACCACACATCACCCCCCGACCCCTACCCCCACCCCACCTCGCCCTACCTCCCCACCCTCCCCCACACACGCCCCCCCTGAACAACCTCCCCCACCCCCGCAAGTAGAAGCACCCCCCCCGCCCGCCCCCCGACTAGCGCCCACTAACCCCCTCCCTCCGAAGCTACACCCTCCCCCCCCCACCCCCTCAAGCAGGACTCCAGCACACCCTTTATTCACCCACCGCCCCCAACATCGCCCTTGCCCCCCCCCCCCCTTCCAACCCCCACCCCCCCCCCATTACCTCTGGGTTATCCTTTATTTACTCCCTACAACCCCCCCCCCCCCCCAGCGAACCACCCACATCTAATCCCGTACCCCACACACCCACCCCACTCACCCCATGCATATTTGGTTTCTGAATTTTTCTGCTCCGAAGGTGAGTGTTGCGGGGAAGATCTCAATAGAAACTTCCAGAGCCTCCTGCGACAGGAGGGGTCTACTACAGCTGTGCGTATACAGAGAGAGGAGAGCTGAGAACTAAAAAAGAAAAAGAAAAAACTGGCAAAAAGAGAACCAAGCCAACCCACGCTAAGACACAACCCACAGACCCCACAAACACCGACAGAAAACAACGAAGCTTGGACGCCCCAGCACCAACCCGCAAACCCGCCACCCGGCCAGACAGTAACAGGGAGAAGTACAAGAGAAGCAGAGTATAAGAGAGCGTTGAATATCAGGTACATAAGGTTCAGTGAAGAGTTTCGGTTTGCAATACACTATTGTGGCAAGCAATGGTGAGGTGAGAAATTTGGGTGGCTTGCTCATAATTATGTAAACCATTATGGCATGGTGATAATAACCACCAGATGTATGTAGAAGCTCTCTTCCCAATGATGTGGGAAAAGTGCTTCTGGAAAATATGTGGTGCTAACAACAGTTTCCCCCTTTGGACAATGTGCCAATTGACAAGTCTCATTCAGCCAGCATTGAGAGCAGTCTTTGGTGGAATGTGTGAGATTGGGAAGACAGATGTTGGGAAGGAGAGAGCCAGCAATACAAAGGGCCACATGGCTAATACAGGCATGCATTATAATCTTGACTAATATTACGAACGCCATGCCCTGACATAGTTCACGCACGTAGAAAGAGTGTAAAAAATTTCAGATCTTTGCAGAAAGTCCTACAATGCCACCTCCGTTTACACAGGGCATGTGTATTAAACACGCAAACATCAACGAGCCCGCAAGGCAAATGCAGAGCAAACGAGTCAACAAACATCATGGAAAAATACAAGCAGATATTTAGTAGTGGAGACCTTCAAAAACTCTCTGTCTCATGGTCACGTCTTTCACCAGCCTCCCGTCACAGTCAAACCACTCCGAGAACTCCTCACAGCTCACTGACTCCCAACAACACATCTGGGTGTCTGGCTCAGACATGACGCGATCCCCCACCGCTGTAATGGGTGTACCACTGTGTCACCTAACATCTGATGAGTACAGATGTACTAGCTACAGGCACCATTAGTTGGCACTGGCTTTGTGGCAAAAACATAACACCTCGTACTTCGGGCAAGACAAAGCAACATTCTACATAATATGTAAAGCTTGGCGAATATCTCACAGAAGTCTACGGCCTTCACCGGTTCGATTACATGTATAGCTAGCCATGTTTGTAACGGTAGCTGCTCGTCAGCAGCAGATCTATCCTAGAGCTACAGAGCAAAACAGGTCATAACGTGTACTCACCTACAGATCGATACTGTAGAAAATCCACTGGTCGTAGAGAGAAACGGGAGTCCAGAATATCCACTAAACTCAAGTCTATCTGTTCGGATTACCCTAAATCGTCGGCACACACAGCTGTAAAAAACAACGATCATGCGCAAAAGCCGAAGAAGCGCTCTATTTAGAAGTAGAGTGGGCATTATTTGGAATAAGTAGAGAACTTGTGTTGATCGTCAATCGTGGTAGCCTCTAGCCATGACAGACAGGGACGAAGCCCTCCACTACTTGCTGAACAAGCTCAAGAGCGAGGACGGCTGGTCGAGTTCCAACCTCACCTGGAACGACGAAAAACTGGCCGTCATCTCGGATCAGTTCAGCTCATTTGACGGGGTCGTCAAGGCCAAGGTTCTCCTGTCCTTCCTCTCCATGAGTCCCCGTACCATCAGTCAGGTATGTCATTTTCTCCTGCATTTTATGTGTTCAACGCTCTTGGCCGCATGCAGTATTAGTCGTGTTTGCGCATGCTTATCCTCGTCGTGCGGAGGAAGACGCTATGTAGGTAGCTCAGTAATGGTAGTCATAGCGGGAGAGAATTCACTGCTCTAATGCGGAAAGCAACTCCCCCACCCTCCGCTATTGGCTGCGATCGTGTTTTTGTACGTATTGTACGAGATATGGCTGAAAAAACGAGCGGAGAAGGCAATGTGACGAACTACGGCGACGTCGTGAATTGCCCCCCTTCTCCCGTCGCTATTTCTCCCTGCAAAGAAACAGGGAGCGCCGCCAACAGCGGGAGATATGACTGCGAGCTAGTAGACCCGTCACAAACGGCCTCCCGGATTCACTGCTCGCTCTGCAAGCTCGTTTTGCAAGATCCTTGCGTGGTCAGCTGCTGTGACAGTAAGTACTGTCGTGGCTGTGTGCAGGCACTCCAAGATGGTGAAAGCAGTTGCTTGGACTGTGACAAGGAGGACGTGACGTTCACAAAGGATCGTGGACTTGGGATATTTCTAACTGAACTCCTGGTTTGGTGCCCTCACAAGAAGGAAGGGTGCGAATGGAGCAGTAAACTACATGATCTTGGAGAGCATTTGAACCAGAGGCCTTCCCCAGAGACGCGACTCAATGGATGTCAGTTTGTGGAGGTTGAGTGTAGCCAGGGATGTGGTGAGGACTTGCAGCGCCACAATGTATTGGGCCACGAGAGAGACACGTGTAAAGAACGGCCTTATTCCTGTCACCACTGCCTGGACTATCACTCCACGTTTGAAGACGTGACGGAAGCCCATCATCTCGAGTGTGATAAATACCCAGTCTTCTGCCCTAATAAGTGCCAGGAGTCTGTGTTTGACCGATGTGAGCTAGAGAAACATCTGGACGAATGTCCACTAGCCTTGTGCGACTGTCCATTCCACTATACTGGTTGTGAAATCAAGCTCACTCGAAAAGACATGACTGAGCACACAACAAAAGAGGCGGTGATGCATCTGTCATTGCTAGCGTCTGTGACACAGAATCTCCTGAGAGAGAACGTTGAGTTGAAAGATAAAGTGTCAGCCAGAGAGACCCAGTTGCGTCAGCTCCAACACAGACTAGCGGAGAGGGAACAGGAGTCTTGTAGCAGTGTTGCAGTGGTTCGGCAGTTCTTGCGAGACGGAGAGCACAAGCAGCAGGAACTTGTCTACCAACAGCAGTCGACTGATTCAGAAATTGAGTGTCTGAAACAAGAGATGTATGCATTGAGACTGGAGCTAGTGCAACACACCCAAAACTCTGGATTCCCCATCACTTACCACATCAATTTCCGCCGGGGGAACATTTTCTTGCCACCATTCCTCACACACCCACACGGTTACAGGCTGTGTCTCAGAGTATATCCGAATGGCTATGGACGTGGAAGTGGAACGCATGTCTCGATCTTCATGTACCTTGTGAAGGGTTCTTTTGACACAAACCTGAAATGGCCATTTGGCGGAGAGCTGACTGTCAGGATATTAAACCAAGCTGGGGACCATGATCACTGGGAAGATACCACTGATAGAAAACTGGGAGGGATTTTCGCAGTTCAAGTCGTAGGGAGAGAGAGGGCAGGGGGAGGCTGGGGTTTCGAAAAGTTTCTCCCCCATAGTGCTTTGCAGTATGACAGAGTGAAAAACATCCAGTATTTGAAAGATGGCCACTTCTTCGTTACTGTCGTTTGTGTAAAGTGTATGTGAACTTTTATCATAAGTGTACGTATCTTTGTTCATGGAACAATTGAAACAGAACTTTTGGGGTACTTATGCAAATATTTGTAGCAGGATTACAGAACATGTACGATCAAGTTTTCGCCCTGAACACCATTTAACAGGTTGAGAATTGATACGTGCAAAATCTCAAAGCTTTACAGTCCCATCAAGCAGGGAACACAAACCATGGACCCCATAAGATCTTTCTGTCAAGGCTATAAAAAAAACTTAGACATTTTCATGGAATGATATCCCACTATATAAATTCATTCCGGTGTATACCTCCAAATTGGAAACTACTGCAAAAGGAAGTAGTTGAAGAGTGGGGATAAAACTGTAGATTTTTGCAGACCTGATTTTTAACCCTCGATGCACATGCGCAGCGAGGGTTACAGTGTTCACTCCATCTACAGGCATAATTGCTGTAGCGGTAGTTATTAGTAAGATGAAGTAACTTCCAGCCATGCTCTGTCTATCAGCACAGCAAGTGAGTTACTGCTCTTTTTCATCACGGCTTTTATATCGTTACGGCTGTTGTCTTAGAAAGTGCAAGGGCTGGGCTGCCTTTACTCATGGTAGTAGCTCGCGGAGAGTCTGACACGGGCTAGCTACATTAGTATATAGCATGCGAGAGTCGATACACGCCCTTCGTTGTTACTTCTTGTGCCTTCAAGATACACAGAGTGAGCGGACGCGGTCGAAGTGGAGGTAAGCCTGTGCTAATTTGCATATTGGCTTGTTCACTAGCTTTTCACGCCATAACTTTTGAACGCAGTAGTTATACGAAAATCGCCTTTTTAAAAATGAAGCCAGTTTAGCGATGAACCCATTGGTATCGCTGTTTTGTTGTCACGTTGGGCGTAGTCGCAGAAAGCGTGGTAACAGACAGACACACTTACAAACCAAGTACCGTAACCCTCGCTACGCATGCGCGCCAAGGGTTAATGACTATACAGATATGTGGGAGTGAGCAAAGCTCAAGTGAATGGCCAGTCCATGCACCTTTGCAGATTTTAACGCTGCCTCGTTCCCAAAAAAAAGGAAACTGGGATACTTTCCGCACATGAGGGATGTATGCCTGGATGCCACACATTTATTTACATGATTGATGTTGCAAGTAACCGTCTAAAGAGGCTGTATATACTGTGTTCTCCAGGCATAATACACCACTGTTTTTGCCTACAGTCTCTCTGTACCATGGCGACACGTTCCCATGTGTAGCTACCAATTCCTGTTGTATCACGTGTACATGCAGAGTCAGAGAACAGTTGTAGTTTAAAACTGTACAAGTAAATTTTCCTTTACAACAACATTGTGTTAGTGTTCAGCACAAACATTTCTAATTACCCATGCTTTCAACCTTTTAACCAATACAAACTTCAGAACTGTTTTGAATGTCACGTAAGTAAATATTTCTCCCACCATTTCATTTAGGCACACTTTGCTTTCAATGTGTATGATACCACTCTACGCACTAACAGTACTTGGTCTCTATGTTTGGAATCTCAGTCTCCAAAATTTCTCTCTAACGCCTCCACCTATTATGGAATTGTCCATTTTTAAACTCCTTAAGTGCAGTACATTGGAAGTCATTGTTAGGTGAAATAAACTTTCAACCAATCATGCAATATACAATGTCCACAGGTTCATGCAACAAAGCAATTGTGTGAAACTTGGGATGAAAACCACGAAGGTTACTACTTTTTACGGTTGAGACAACCTAATTAAATTTCAAACGAAATCAGTGATTGGCTCTTATTCGTAGTTGCATACAAAACACTTCAGTTCATTCGTTCGGAGTAATGATGAAGCAGCCCCTCTCTTTCATGGTTGGCTTCATTTTGACACCTGTAGCTGTGTGACGTAATGGTTTTCAGCACTCTCCAAACTACATAACTCCAGAGTACGATGTGAGGTACCAGCAGAAGGATAGATACGAATACTTCGGCATTAACAGTTCCTGTTATCACCAAACTAACAAGGAATAGAAGTCCACCGGTTAGGATATTAGATTTTCTGTCTTTGTAAGGCTGCTGCCATATGCAGAAAAAGGCAATCACACCTAAAAAGATGGCCACGATATAATTTCCAGATAATATGAATGCTTTTTTTAGTGGACCGTGAATTATTGCTGTGATGGAAAGTAGCAGGCCGAGAAGAGGGCTAGAAAGAAGTAGTCCCCAGCCGCACAATGATCGATAATCTCGAGTTCCATTTGTACCATCTTTTAAACAACCATTAAAAGTTTCCACGTATGTTTTGATTCTTAGCCTCCACTTTGGACTGATGCAGTGACTGATCTTCCTGTACAGTGAGGTGGGGTAGACCACTAGGATGAGGAGAGGTGGAAGAAAGACAAACACTGCCACTGCCACTGAAAATGCCATTAACAAGACATGTTTATTGGAGCCAAAAGGAACATTTGGATCAATGTATAGTAGTCTTATGTGTTCTTTTCCTTTGTTATGTTTTACGTTGCTCCATTCGAATGCCTGCCAGATAAGATAACTGAGCCTGGCATATGACAAATAGAACAGTGATGCAAAGGCTTGAATCATTGATGATCTGGGGTCCCAGGCTCTGTATAACTGTACATATACTCTGCTGAACCACCTCCACAAGTATACAACGGGCCCAAAGTTTTTTCTGTGCATTTCTATCACTGCATAAGTCAGCAGCAATAGCACAAAAGGATAAACAGTGGCCACGAATTCTAGGAATGGTATGTAAAACTCTTCCATGTGATGCGATATGCATAAGTGGGGGGAGATGAAGAGTAGAGCATCAAAGCTCCATACTGCACTTAGAGTTAATGCTGTCTTTGCTAGGTTTGTGGCAACATTGTGTGGCTTGACAAAAAGCCACAACTTTAACCTACCATAGATAACTGACAAATTACAGAAGAGTACATAGTTGGCCATTGGTCCCGAAGTAATATTTGGCCTGAAAATGATAACCAAGAGAGATATCAAAGTCGAAGGCAGGTATTGGAGAAGTATGTAGTACACAATGTTTATCGGACTGCATGAAACACATTCAACTCCAACGGAATACACAGAAGACCCAGTATCATTAATGCATCTTCCACAGGAAGGATTTTTCTCCTCTCGACTGAGATTTCCACACACAACACTATTCAACTCGTTGACATTAGCTGGCAGGGCAAACATGCCATTACTTGTTGCATGCTGTGGAAATATGAATGGACACCAAAAACTTGTAACCATGTCCTCTTTGGAGTCGTAGAAAGTACAATAACCTTGTACCAGCGAAGACACCTGGTTTCTTTGATCACAATGTATGCCTCGAAGAAGTTTTCTGGCACAGGCACAATAACCTGAGGAGTCTGAGGTATTCACCCAATCGAACAATGGAGGACACTCATTCACTCCATCTACAGGCATAATTGCTGTAGCGGTAGTCATTAGCAACATGAAGTAACTTCCAGCCATGCTCTGTCTATCAGCACAGCAAGTGAGTTACTGCTCTTTTTCATCAAGGCTTTTAAATCGTTACATCTGTTATTTTAGAAATTGCAAGTATGTATATAGGATATAAAACAGTTGTTGGTTTTCTGTATCCGTGACTCACCGTGGTGTTTATAATAACCTGCAGGGAGTTGTAGCGTGTAGCCCTTTTCATAAAATTTGCTTTACATACCCATTACTATGTACTTACTAAGTGGAACATCATTTGTTACCGTACACCTCAAAAGGTATGCAAACTAGGCATGTATGAGTAGGTGAATATTTTATTGCCTCGTTCTTGAAGAATGACTACAGGTTACAGGTTGGAATGAGCAAAGCTCAAGTAAATGGCCAGTCCATGTCAAAGAATGCACCTGTGCAGAATTGAACACCACCTCGTTCACAGAAATGGGATATTTTCGCACATGTGTGATGAATGCCTGGATGCCACACATTTTTTTACATGATTGATGTTGCAAGTAACCGTCTAAAGAGGCTGTATATACTGTGTTCTCCAGGCATAATACACCACAGGTTTTGCCTACAGTCTCTCTGTACCTTCATCGTCCATGGCGACACGTTCCCATGTGTAGCAACCAATTCCTGTTGTATCACGTGCATATGCAGAGTCAGAGAACAGTTGTAGTAAAACTGTACAAGTACATTTGCCTTTACAATAACATTGTGTTAGTGTTCAGCACAAACACTTCTAATTACCCATGCTTTTAACCTTTTAACCAATACAAACTTCAGAACTGTTTTGAATGTGACGTAAGTAAATGTTTCTCCCACCATTTCATTTAGGCACTCTTTTGCTTTCAATGTGTATGATACCACTGCACGCACTAACAGTACTTGGCCTCTTGTGAATCTCAGTCTCCAAAAGTTCACTCCAACGCCTCCACCTAATATGTCCTCTAGTGGTCTCAAGTACAGTACATTGGAAGTGAAAGCTTAGTGCATGTCAACAACGTGAGGTAGAAAGGCAAAGGAAAAGCAAAACAAGTGACTCTTTTGTATGTATTGCTGTCAATGTTAGGTGAAATACATTTTCAACCAATCATACAATAATTGTTAGAGAGTCGATAGACTCTCTATATAGGGATGGCACGGGTGAAATCTCACGTGATCCACGTACAAAACGACTAAAAACGCAGTGAGAATGACTTCCTAGGCCTTCAAAATACACTAGAAATAGTGTACGGGCCGATATCTACCTATATACATGTTCCCAAAGACCTCATACGCACCTTCAGTGGTCCATGCGAGAATTCGCTCATACGCGATTTCACGATTTTCGTGTCATCATTTCTTCATTTTCTTCTTCTTCTATAACCCCGCTATCTCCTTACTAAAGCGCGGATTTTTCGCCAGAGGTGTGCACGGACATCAAGCGATCGTTTCTTTCTTGCCGCTGGTCACTAAGGTAGATCGTGAAGCTCTTCCATGGTCGACACTGAACGCCATTTGTTGCTAACTCAGCAACAGTGAGCCGTGCGCATGCACCAGGCTTGTCCCCCCAAGTTGTATCTTCATTACCAAAGCCTGCCCATCCATGTCCAATAACTTGTTGAAGATACATGAGGTGAATGTGGTATCTAGCCCCTGTTTCAGGCACTAGCAGCACATTATCTACTGATTTCAACAGTTAGAGTTTGTCCTATCTACAACATACCCATGAACATCAGAGATGCAGTGTTGTCATAAGCTGTTAAAAATAGTGGAAACAAGTGGAAATATCATTTCTTCAAAATGAAGGGGGATATAGGGATGGCTTGAAGCACCAAAAACGAAGAAACAAGGGGTCATTACACAGCAAGAATGCACTAAGCTACATGACACCACCCCTATATCTTTGTTTTTTTTATTGTTTATAAGCAAAGTTAAAGATATAGGAAGAAATGATTTGAAGAAATGATTTTTCCACTTGTACAATGTCCACAGGTGCATGCAACAAATCAATTGTGAACTTGGATGACAATCACTAAGGTTACTACTTTTTATGGTTGAGACGACCTAATTAAAATTCAAACGAAATCGGTGATTGTCTCTTATTCGTAGCATTGCATACAAAACACTTCAATTCATTCGTTCGGAGTAATGATGAAGCAGCCCCTCTCTTTCACTGTTAGCTTCATTTTGACACCTGTAGCAGTGCGACGTAATGGTTTTCAGCACTCTCCAAACTACATAACTCCAGAGTACGATGTGAGGTACCAGCAGAAGAATAGTCATGAATACTTTGGCAGTATTCTCTGTCTCCGGCGAATGAACAGCTCCTACCGCCAACAAACTAACAAGGACTAGAAGTCCACCTGTTAGGATATTAGAATTTCTGTCTTTGTAAGGCTGCTGCCATGTGCAGAAAAAGCCAATCACACAAAGAAAGATGGCCGTGATATATGCGGCTATGAATGTTCTTTTTGGTGGACCGTAAATTATTGCTATGATGGAAAGTAGCAGGCCGAGAAAAGGGCAAAAAAGAAGTAGTCCCCAGCCGCACAATGATCGATAATCTCGAGTTCCATTTGTACCATCTTTTAAACAACCGTTAAAGGTTTCCACATGTTTTGATTCTTAGCCTCCACTTTGGACTGATCCAGTGACTGATCTTCCTGTACAGTGAGGTGGGGTAGACCACTAGGATGAGGAGAGGTGGAAGAAAGACAAACACTGCCACTGCCACTGAAAATGCCATCAAAAAGACATGTTTATTGGAGCCAAAAGGAACATTTGGATCAATGTATAGTAGTCTTATGTGTTCTTTTACTTTGTTGTGTCTTACGTCGCTCCATTCAAATGCCTGCCAGATAAGATAACTGAGCCTGGCATATGACAAATAGAACAGTGATGCAAAGGCTTGAATCATTGATGATCTTGGGGTCCCAGGCTCTGTAAAACTGAACATAGACTCTGCTGAACAACCTCCACAAGTACACAACGGGCGCAAAGTTTTTTCTGTGCATTTCTATCACTGCATAAGTCAGCAGCAATAGTACAAAAGGATAAAGAGTGGCCACGAATTCTAGGAATGGTATGTAAAACTCTTCCATGTGATGTGATATGCATAGATGAGGAGAGACGAATAGCAGAGCATCAAAGCTCCATACTGCACTTAGAGTTAATGCTGCCTTTGCTACGTTTGTGATAGCATCATGTGGCTTGACAAAAATCCACAAATTTAACCTGAAATAGATCACTGAGAAATTACAGAAGAGTACGTAGTTGGCCATTGGCCCTGAAGTAATATTTGGCCTAAAGATGATGACAATTAGAAACATCACCATGGATGGCAAGTATTGTAGTAGGAAGTAGTAGAAGATATTAATAGGACTACATGGAACACATTCAGTTCCAATGGAGTACACTGATGGCCCTGTGCCATTGGTGCACCTTCCACACATTGGACCTTTCACCTCTCGACTGAGATTTCCACACACCACACTGTTTAACTCACTGACGTTTGCTGGGAGGGTAAACATGCCGTTCTTTGTTGCATGCGCTGGAAAGAAAAATAAGCACGATGTAGCACTTATAGTGTCTTCCTTGCGGTTGTAGAAAATGCAGGAGCCTTGTGAGATTGAAGATCTCTGGTTTCTTTCATCGCAATGTATGAAGTTTGGCAATTCACTTGGACAGTCACAATATCCAGATGAGTCTGAGGTATTCACCCATTCAAACCATGGAGGACACTCCTTCACTGCTTTAGCTATACATGCCACTGCAGTTGTGGTAACCAGCAAATGTAACAGTGAAGCGGCCATTGTCTGTCCCCGAAACAACTGATGAACCCAAGTCAGCTTCCTAAGTACTAACTGCAAAGCATTTTAGGCCATAATGAAAGTAA